GCGCCGAGGTCAGATACACTGTACCTGCACATTGAATATCTTCTGTCCAAATATTTGATTCTTATTGTTTGATCAATGGGTCAGGTTTATGCAAAGTGTTAAGTGCGCCGATCTGTGAATCACAGACAGTGATTACAGTTTTGTCAAAGCCCGGCGATGTCACGTCAAAGGGGCGGATCTAATTGCAATTGAGCATGTTGTCAGCGTGTTAGAATTGCACATAATGATTGTGGAAGTCATTAAAAAGTCTTTGAAAATGGACCATAAAAGTCTTCAAAAAGTTTTTAAAATTCGGGGGGTTTTTACACTATGAACCCCGTGATAAAGTGTGGTTGGAATATTTACGTGCATGGCTTTCTGCAGCCTGTACAGCTGATGTTCAGATGTTTGGAGGTACATCTTAAAATGATTGGTATTTTGTTTTACAGTTTACGAGGTACTGTCTTTAATGGGTTGACTGTTTGGAGTCGGCCCGCAATTGTGCCTTCCGCTCATGGGATTCATTTTTCTCCTCCTTGCTACAGACGGGCGTCCCCCAGCACCAAGCCATGGTCCGGACTGAGGTCCTGACCCAGCCCAATGACTATATGTGCTTATCCATCTTCGTCATGCTGTTCTGCTGTCTCCCATTTGGTATCATCGCCCTCATCAAGTCCATGGACGTAAGTGTCACAAAGGAGGCTGGGAGACAGACAAACTGCGCACACGTTTAGCGTTATCGTGGGAAGGTTCCTGACTGCACAGGGGACACTCGATAATACACATACGTGTATTTCATGAACTTGTCAAGGTTTTGTGAGATCAGAGCCGTCTGAATGCCACGTAGTTAATATCAAGTCCTCACAAGTCAATCACATGTCCTCACAAGTCTATCACACATCCTCACAAGTCTATCACACGTCCTCACAAGTCAATCACACGTCCTCACAAGTCCATCACACATTTTCATAAGTTAGTCAGATGTTCTCACAAGTCATTTGAATGTCCTCACAAGTTAATCCCAAGTTACTAAAAATCTGCCACAAATCATCCTCAAGCCAATCACTATTTACGTGACCTTGTTGGTGGCATGCCTTAATCATACATTAACCCCATGCAAAAACTTAAGACAGTTTTTAGTCAAAGTGTTTTGTGTTTTTGGAACATGCTTTGAAATAAAGTTGGTGTCCTGAACATTTTTCTCCAAATAAAAAGTGGATGTGAAACAGCAGTGATGGAAATAGCTGGATTCGCATCGCAAAATGCGATATATTTTGCACAAAAGCGAGACAAACATGAAACTGATGTGTAGTTTTTGGGAATGGAAATTTCTTTTAAAATCATGCATGCGGCGAGCTCACAGCGAGGATCAGAAACCAGCTCCGCCAGCCCCGATAGATGTTAGATAAAACATACTCACCCCCAGTTTCTTGTCCTAGTTTCGTGCCGCACGAGGACCACGGATCGTGGGAAACGAGGTACCTGCAATTTGACACCCCCAAAAAATCACGAGTAGGGACTTGCTGTCAGCGGGTTTTTTTTGTTTATTTTCCCCTTGATTCTGTAAAAAATTGTTTCTCCACCCAATTTTGGGCCAGAGCCATAACCAACAACCATGCTACACCATACCCGTGTGTTGTTTCAGTGTTTAGCCTTGGTGAACACATCAGTGGATATTAAAACTGTGTACCATGGTATAATGGTACTGAATTAGGCCCATTTATTTTTTGCTGATCAATTTCATCGTAATGCTAATCAAGTGGCATTATGGTTAGCAAATTTGCTTATCAATTTTATTTTCTTACTTCCATCACTGAACAGTATTAACTCCATCTTCAACTGCGGCAGGGCAAGAAAGGAAGAATTAATCCACGTTAAGGGTTTCTTTTGTTCTTTGCTCTCACTCCTTGCACCCGACTCACAGGTGCGCAGTCTGGTGGCAGCCAACGACTATGCGGCTGCCGCCAGGGCCTCCAAGTCGGCCAAGAACTGGAATGTGGCCGGTCTGGTAACTGGACTCATCATAGAGGTGGTAGCCCTCATCATCCTGATTGTCTGGGTGGTGGTGTTCGGCAGCGCGGTGGCCAGTGTAAGCGACTACATGTATGATAGCTTCGCAGACTTTGACGGGAATTACTAGTTGGTCCTTCTTTGAGAGAACAGCTGTTTTTAGTTTGGGTTTTTGTTTTCTCAGCATTTTCCATGAGTTGTGGGAAAGTAATAGTTTTTGATTCGATTTTTTCCCCTCTTTGTTTTTTTATCTTATTTTCGGTTCTTTTTATTTTGCAACATGTGATTTGATATCTTTGACAATAAAGACGTATCCATGCAGGGTCAGATCACGGTTCCTCAAAAAAATACAGAAATAAGAAGGAGACGGTTTCCCTTCGTGTTTCCTCGTATTCCTGTATTTCCATAAATCTTGATCCGTCCTCGCTCCTGCGACATTTAAGCTTTATTATTTTTGTTAAGCTTTGTTCTTTTTTTTTTTTAAATATGTTTATCTTTTATGTGAGAGTTAGCGAAAAGGATTGCAACAGAGGTTCTGTTGCACAAGTAATCAGATCATTAACCCTAACAATTCCACATCCTCCGATTTCAGTATGATTTTACATACACCCTAGGGGGTTAGGATTAATCATGTGCTCAGATATCGTAGGGTGTTTGCGTGCAATTCAAACACTGATTCTTCGCTTTTATTGACCCCTATTTATTTTCTCGTCTGCAGGGCCGTTCAAAAGAACAAACGAGCCCAAGTTTAAGGTGACTGTTCTCCCACATCCTGCAATTCAGAGAATTTGCAGTTTACCCAGTGTTGATGAGTAAGGAGTTCGGCACTAAGCCACAAAAGATCGCAGTGTACACGTCTTCATTTTGTTCGATCATGCTGGTGAGCAGTGAAGCTGCTGCAAACAAACCAGTCTCGTACATGCCATGTCGGGTTTTTTTTTTTTTTTTCAGGATTATTGCTAAGCAGCCTACTCATCAAGGGTGTGGGTGAAGCAGCACACTTGTTTGATGTTTCTGTGTTGATTGTGTTGGTTTGAACTCAGAGATCGTATAGCGCCGAAGGCGCAGGATGGATAACTCTGCCCAAAAGATGTAATTACCATGGGCGCCATTTGAGCAAGCGGTACGCCTGTGCAGTTTACAGTAATGCTTGGCCGCAGGCTCACCAGGTGCACGTGGCTGCCGCGGCACCTGTGCAGTAATGTGCGTTGCTTGCTCAAATGGCGCCTATGCGATTACAACGTTTTACGTGTATTCACGGTGAAGTTCGCCATCTTGCACCGCTTTGCGATGCTATACGATCTTTGTTTGTACTGGAGTTTATTGTACATGTACTAATATGTAAACATGATTACGTATGTACTCGTAGAATGTAAATTATTGTTTATGTGGCAGTGCAATCTTACTGTATATTTCCACTGTTTTATTTTCATGGGTTACCGGTAGCTCACAGTGCCAAATAATTTTCACCTGTCATCCCCTGGTTTGGATGTCTTTTTAAAGAGAAAATTCACCGATATCAACTCCGAAATCCTGTAGTTCACATTCTGGCATCTCATGAAGAGGAGAGCGGCGGGAACGGTTGGGTACGTGCAGCTGCCGGCCCACGTTCCAATCGGTGTCAAATGATTTCTGGGGTATTTTTTGAAAGTCTGTATTTTGTGAAATGTTATACACTGTAAGTCTGCCAGCGGTCAGTGACGTTTTAAAAACCAAATATTATCGCCACGTGCGAGGCACTGCGAAGCTCCACTTTTGCCAGTCGTGTTTTTGATACAGAGTAGTACGTGTGTTTTTGCCTCGTGTGTACAAAGTGTAAACTTGCCTAGTGTTGGATAGGTATTCATCCCCTCCGCCCTCCTTTGGTGCACAAAGGAGTGTTAGAGCGCCCTCTGTATACACATGCATCACTCTGCCGTGTGCCATCAGCAGGCATGAGGTGAAGTTTGTTGTCGGATTGGTGCTGTGTAATTTTAGTTTGTTAAAAAACTATGCCAGTAGTCTCAGTCACGGGACTTCTCGTGGATCGGAAAGCCACATTGGCACATTGCTAACAATATCGGCGATTCACAGTAGTGCGCCTCCAAGAGTTTGCAACGCTTTGGCTAATCACAACACGCAAGAGCTGTCGACCTGCTCCGAATGCACATTGGGTCTGCAGATTTCACGCATCATCAAAGGCCAACGCATTGCAAACGCTTGGAGGCACGCTATTGTGAATCGCCAGGCCGTACAGGAAATTCAGTTTTTCTCTGTAGGTTTCTAAAAAACAACCTAGAATTTGTTGCCAACAAGAACTTGTGCAAACCTCTTAATTTGATTTTGATTTTTTTTTTTAATGATTTTTATCGTTTTGTTTCAAGTTGTAGGTTCATAGAAGAACTTGCATGCACTTGTACTTTATTTGGCGATTGGAAGGACTGTTTATGAACATCTGCTCTGATGTCGAGCACGAGGGAGATTTTCCTCGTTCTCGGCGCCGCACAAGGCGGTGGAATGAAGTGACGCACGCCGGGGTGGGGGGGGTCTGGGAAGGCCGAGCCCAAAGCGATAGATGGATTCCCCATTGTTGGGATGTGCTAATTTCGTCGAGGTCGAGGTGTGCGACGTCATCGCCACAAGCCCGCATTGGGGAAAACTTTATTCGGACAAAAAGGAGAATTCCTTTGAAGAAAAACAGGGGTCGACATGTGCGCGTGAAATGTCCGTGCTGTGCATGCCATTGATCTCCGTTATAATGGACATCAGTGGTATTTGTATAAGGTGCTTCAGAAATTTGCAGTCGGCATCCCAGAATGCTTTGCGGTGTCTGTACTTCACTTTGAAGTGATTAGTCCACCCTAGCGACCTGAATTGGCGGTTAGAACGAGTGAAGCCTGAGGAGTTTTTAAACATGAGGTTTTCTATGGTTACTCGTGATGGGCGTGAAAGGGGTCTGATGAGAGGAAAGAAAATCGTTTTTAGTACCTACTTTTAAAATCTAAACAGATATTTGTAGAAAAGCTATAATATACCAAGAAAGTAAATATTTTATAGTTACAAAGTGGTTCTGAATTTATCATGTTAACTCACCATTCATGTACATTGTCTTTTAAACTAAATTTAACGAGTATTAGACGTCATGTATTCCGTTTCGTGGTATTCACGCGTTTACGCATTGTGTATTTAAGTAAAACCACTATACGATGAAAGAACTACAAGCAAAATGTACGTTGATAGTGCCTAAAGATACAGTAATGCTTTGATTTTCTATTTATCTTGTGTACAATCCCATTTCGCACATTATATACGTACTAATGTATACATGTAAACGTACTTTTGCATCACGTTTATTCGATTTATATCATTCGAGTACACGGACCTGTAGCGTGGTTTTGAACGGGGGAAGACACTTGTCCAGTTTCTGCTAAACATTAATTGGGAAGAAAGCCATCTTTGTAGTGGCATTCATGTCGCCCCCTGCCGATGTCGGAAGCTCAGTGGCTCAGTATTCCAACAGCGCATTCCTTGTAGGCCTAAATGAAGCCCATGGGAGGTCTGGTCATTCAGGAAGTAGCAATACGCTCGCGTGAGGATCACCTTATCATCGCGGCCATATTCCTGACGCGTGCGCACGCGCCCTTTGCTCTCGTATGACCTTACTCAACCTCATTCCTAGGGTACAATATTGCCGCGCCACGCTGGTTCCCAACATGCCTTGCGCGATCTTGACCTCTGGTATTGTATAATTTATATATTCTATTATTTGGAAGATTTAAATTAGAATGTCGATGTGTTTATGTGAACTGGTTTATTCCATGTTGGATCAGTGGCAGCCGTGTAACTTCGGGTCTTCGCTGGAAGGGCTGATGGCCTTGCACAGATTTTAGTGAAGGAAATGCGTCACGCTGGGTCACAGCCAGCGACGCGCAGAGCGTTGTCGGTAAATGTCTGCTAGGCGCGCGAGCTCGCTCGCTCGATGTGGCGGTTATCAATTCGATATTTTTCCTTTCTTCCTCATTGCTGACAATATTCTCACTGCGCTTTATTAGTTCATGCAGACTTGATCAAGATAACCAGTGATTTCAAATATATCGCCGAAAAGACACGAGCATGGTCAATGATAATTACCAATGGTAAATTACCGTGATTGTACTAAGGTCAAGTTCTTATTATGTAAGCGGACACCTTGACCGCACCTGTGCCGAAGCATCGCCACTGGCGAACCAAAAACTCAAAATAACGCTTCCCAAAAGAATTTGTGATAACGTCGCGGTTGGAGGTTGTGTACAATCTAGCCAATCACAGTGCAAAGCCAACAGCCCTTCCCCCAGCGCCCTGTTCAGGCGCTGGGTAACGAGCGAACTTCGAGTCTTCACAGGAAACACGTATCGATGCTGTTTATTGAAGAAAAAAAAGTTGACGTTGCCGTCCACGGATGAAATGGTTAAAGTCAAAGGTCAGATGGGAAATGGCCTCTGAGTAGTGTCACATCACTCACAGTTGTTCTTGGTTTGGACCGTGCATTCCAGCTTCCATGCACGGGGCAACCCGGATGTCCGTGTGTACCTATATCAAGTAAGCGAGACCGTGGAGACGAGGTTGAATCTACGGAAGTTACTCTGCGAGTTGCTCTTTCACATTCTGGTCAGTGTTGAACACGAAAGATGAAGTGCCACATTAAAGCTTTTGTGTCTGCCCACTACCGAAACTTCGATTCGACAGTTGACATGGAGAATACACTACGTCTGCCTGAATAGCTCACTCACACAACAAGGTTGGCGTTACCAGGGGAATAACCTGGTAATAACCAGAACATTGTGGTGAAAAGACTGGAAAAAATGAGGAGAAACAAAAGACCGAGAGATGACGATCGTCAGCATTTTCCCCCAAGGTTGTGTTTCACGACATTGAACAGCTGTCATTCTATAACGAGAGTTTTAATACTGAAACTCAAAATATAGATAGTCGCATCTATATGTTATGGTTTTATCAGAATAAAACCACACTGTATGGTTTCTCATTGTGAGTCAGTTTTTCTTGTAGGGTTAAATGTTAAGGTCTTTGTTTCCTCTGAAATTGAAACCAGGAAAGAAATGACAGGAAAGCGGAATGTAGGCCTAGACTCTGAAATCGATGGATGGTTGTGTTTCTGTACTTCTGTGGATGCACTTTTTTTAAAGGTATATTTAGTTTACACCAGGGAGCCATTTTCATGGAGCTTCAAATGTTCTGTAGTCAGAAAAGTTCTCAGCGACTGTTAAAATCGCTTGGAAAATTCTTACAGGATGGGCATCGCTTGGTATGTTGGTGACGTGCTCGTATGTCTGACGCCAACATTTCATATTCACTGCAAAAAGCTGGTGTTAAAAGTCCACGCTGGCAGTCTTCACTAGTAGTGGTAAATATTTGGTGTAGTATCAACACTAGGTGTTACTTTTAACACCCTCCGGTACATTGTAACGTAACTTACCCATGTAGGTGTATAAAGTAACACCAGCGGTGTTAACACCGTTTGATGTGATCATCTGATAACACCAACAAGTGTTGTTTTTGAACACCAGAGTTTTTGCAGTGTTCGGGTACAAAACAACCTTGTTAAAAAAATACACGTAGGATAGCTCTGCGACTAATTGGTGCCATTCTGTTGTTCTTATCGTAGGTTGGTCTCGGGTGGAGCCTTTGCGTGTAATAATCCTGTTTTCTATAGTGTTTTTAAAAGGTGTAACAAACTATTGGAGAGTTGAGTTTGGCCTTTGTTGAACAGTATGTATGGAGAGTCGCTGTCAAAAACCTGGTGACTACAGGTTGGCTCATTATTGTGAAATAAAAGGTCGTAAAAACAATCATTTGAAATCAAGTTGGCACTCGACATGTTTTTTGTATAATGACAATGTTAATCGTGTTTTTCGGGGCGTGGGCCCTTCCCCTTCGCTACTGCCCCTGCGACCTCGTCATTTTGCAGTTGTTATTTGACCGATCTTACTCAGCACTGTGTCCATTCCCTGCGACTACAACCAAATTGAGTTTGGTCGAAGCCCCCTCCTCGTAGCTACCTAGATCCGCCCGCAAGTAGTGCACGGACAGCTACAATACTGCTGGGTATACGTGCCATTATGAGCCGCGATCGCTGGTGTGCCTTGGAAAACTAGTGCAATAGGAAGTCATCAAGGATTCGCTGGTGTCCTTTGATTTCCGCTGGAGGAGACCCAATGCTCCAGTACAGTCGTGTATATCATTTCACGGACGCTGGACAGAAACTGGGCTGGTGGTACAATGTCATGTAGGCGAACATGCAGCACTTCAATGTACTGTTTTAGTGTACCATCGTGCTATGTGATCGTTGTGGGTTGGTAGCTCGGTACGGGCAAGGTATTGTGCACTGGGCTTGTTGGTTGTCAGATGTCGGTTGGATTGGGGGGATGTGTCGCTTAGTTGGTCGACTGGATGTGGTTGCTGGTTGCCACCCGAGTCCCACTCTGGTGCGTCTATAATGCTTGGCATGCCTGCTTGGCTTTAGATGGTCGTTTTCGTCACAAACCCGTTGCCTCCTCCTGCTCAACCCTCAAAGTTTCCTTTTGGGCTGGGAATCAGAGATATAGTATTCCCTCCAACGGATTCGGTCCTTTCAAAGACATTCCTTGAACAACAGTACTCGAGCTCTGTCAGATTTTGCCCGACGAAGGGCCCTGTTCGCCCACAAATCCGACAAATGGGAGCGCCACATCTGACACCCCGAGCGACTTGACCGCAAGCCAGAAACGCCCCTGGAATAATCGCGACTTCAAATGCTCCATTTTATCCATGAATCTGTATGGTTGGTGTACACGCAGCGTTGTTATACAGTGCACAATCTCTGGTGTTAAAATCAACACTTTCTGGTGTTATCAGATGACCACACCGTAGGGTGTTACTTTAACACCGCCGGTGTTATTTTGCACACCTATAAGTGTACAGTGCACTGGATGGTGAAAAGTGTTAGCGTAGTCCTCCGATCATGATAACACCGGGATGTTAAATCTAACACCCCAGTTTTTACAGTTCAGCTTCTATTATCGCAACCATTGCTTTAATTACATTCATAAATGATCAGATGAGTTTCAAGACTTGAGACCTTTCCCATGGGGCAGCTATCTTGTTTTCTGCCATTGAAAGCAATTTAATCAAACTGCGGCTGGGAAAAATAAAAACAATCTTTTCTGTGTTACCAAAATAAGGCTGTATGAAAAACTGTAGTACTTTCGTCATGATATTGGTCTACAAGGGGCTAGACGACAAATGGAAGCATTAGGACTATTAAAAGGCCTATACTGCTGGCGTGAATGCATCGCGTGAGTGGCGAGGCCCTGGTTCACTCACTCGTTCCGGGAACCTGACCCGGACTTTCCACTGCAAGAATGTGAGAATTTGCCTGCCAACTTAACTTCTCGGACGCACACACCACACACACACACACACGCCATCGCGCCCTACATTATGTGAATTTCTTTTGTGCAGAGGTCCACACTATGTATGCCACGCCTGCGCACCTGATTGTATCCGGTATCGTTAGGGAATGACGGATAGAGTTTGCATTCCACAAAGTATTTCCTTCTGAACAATTCTCAATTAAATTAGGGAATGACGGATAGAGTTTGCATTCCACGAAGTATTTCCTTCTGAACAATTCTCAATCCGATTTCTGCACCCTTATTTTCAAAAGCGTAACCCTCGATCCCTTTGTCGACGCCGTCTCCCTACTATTGTCGCGTTTTGATTTTTCTGTCAAAAAGAAATTCGTTTGCCTTGCAACTTTTTGTTTGTTTTTGCCAAAAGTTAGAGCAAGTGTTTTTAACCACTGAGCTGACCAGCCAGCACACGTGATTGCCCTTTGAGATAAAGTATATTAAAAAGGAAAAAAAATGAAATGAAATAAATTTTTAAAACTCGAAATATTCGACCTGTTTACATGTTATTTTGAAACTGCTTACATTTATTTACGATTTCCCTTCTCCGAGGAAACTGGTTAATCCTATCTGTAATATAATTGATTTTGAATGCGTGTACAATCATTGGTCGATGTTCCACAAGGCCTGGTTCTTGGAGAAACAACAGAACTCAAACTTCCAAGATGGGCTTAACTGAAGTTCTGATGCAAAACAATACACAGAGTGTATGGGTGTTTGATTGGATGCTGTCAGTTCTCTGTTTTACGCCTGGTTCAGCAGGCCAAGACAGTATAATTCTTGTATTTGTTTGTATTCTACTGGTTACCAAGGATTCATGTTTGTCCTCTTTGCAGTCCATCTCATGTTCCGGGCCAGCTTCAATGTCCGTTTCAACAGGTCTGCCTTTTCCTTTTTGGCATGGGAAATCCGACCAATCTCCACGTTGTTTTGCTGTTTTTTGTTGGTTGTAATTTGCTTCAACAACATATCGCTTCCTTCTGTCCTTGTAATTCAGCCAAGCCCGGGTCTTCATCCTCTCAACTGATGATGTCACCCTATGTAGCCATTGGCTGCTGTCCCTGTTGATCCTACAGTTAACTGACCAATCCACGGGCGCTGTCTTGATGACGTAGATGCCTTTCGGCTTAGTATTTAACGCGTCCCGCTGCCCGGCTTGCCAAACTTATGCATGAAGTGCGTTGGCAGTGCTTATAGGAAATTCTCTCCGTATTCTCCCCTGTTATTTTTTCTGTTACATTCTGTCTTTCATTTGCCGGATTCGCCTTTTGCCAACACTGAGTTTTTAACCTGTCACACAAGGAGACTTTATACTTTTGGATCATACGAGTGAAATACTTTCCTCGGCATTATGACTGACCAAGGTAAGTTAATCAGATTTTTTTTTCCAAATCTTCCTACTTAACTGCTAAAGTTTAATGGAAGGGAATCTGGTTTTCAATGGCTTCGATTGTATCCAATGTAACTATTAAAGAAAAGAAAAAAATTTGATGACATTGGAACAGAAAATTGATGAGATACTACTGGTCAAAGGGGCGTTTCATATTTTTCCATTTGGTGTTTCAAAACGTCCTTCCAGAGGAGCAAATGTGCGAGACGGTGCATTGCTCTGCTTATGGGGTCAACCTCGCTGTCCCCTCTTGACCTCGGACGCGCATCACCCGGGCGCATGCGCTGTTCAGTACCGCGACTGACTCATTATGTTTCCTCTGTGCATCAGTTTAGTTCATCTTCTTAGATATGACGTCATCATGGCAGGTGCACAATGCGTGCGGTTTTTCAACCTAAGAAGGCAATCCGGTTCGTAAGTGTGACGTCACTTCAGTTTAAACCACGCCCACTGCACGTGCACTGCACGTGCACTGCAAGTAGAGTTATATGCATTGATAGCCGTTTACATGGAACCGGAAGTTAACGCGCAACTTCAAGTTCAGTGATCGTCCAATGGGAACCTGCAAATCGTGGCGCGTCCGCCTTTGTGACGAAGTCACCTACAAACCGGATAGTTTTACGTGATCGAGAGCTTATAATTTTGTTGAAGATTATGGGCCTCAGGCTGGACTAACGGAGGTCGCTATTTCCTAACTGCGCATCGCTGATTCACAAACGACTATGAAACGCAAACGTTACAGTCGCATCGCTACCAAAATATAAACGAGTATCCCAACCGACGCTGCTCTTTTCAGTTGCTGAGGGGGTGCTTCTGCTCGAAGTAGATAACACCACTCCCTTGCACCATACTCCGAGTGTGCACAGTCAAAATGCCTGCACGGGTCGGCCACTGGTTCCCGCCTCCAGCACCGGAGCTGCCAAGGCGAAACAGGGGCCTGTAACAGACAAAAGAAGGATGCGGCAAGTGGCTTCTTATTGTCTGGCCTACCTGTCTGCCAGTCGCGCTATCCCCAACGGAAGGTGAAGCGGCAAGGCAATACAGCGCCATCGCTGAGCTTGTTTCAAGCACGAAGTGCGTAAAACCGTTCAGCCGGGCTAATGTACAAACTTGACAAAGTTTTCTTTTTTCTTTTTCTTTTTTTTTGGGGGGGTGGTGGTTTGGTTCAGTTTGTTCTTTGGTGTTATTGTGGTGTTTGTTTGTTTGCTTGCTTTTTTATTTGCTTTTATCTGGGTTTTGTTAGATATTTCACTGAGTTAGAAAAGTATAGACCCTTTCCCAATAACCCCTAAAGAACCTGCTTAACGATGCAATCAAAACTGGTTTATTTGTTCTTAACTTTCTAAACTTTTACTATTGTCTCCGCAGGCGTTGCCTCAAATGCGAACCCGCCTGTCTATCCAGGGCCACTCGATGCGAAGGCAAACCCTCCTCAAGGCTATCCCCCTCAACAGGGCTACCCACCGCAGCAAGGTTACCCACCGCAGCAAGCGTACCCCGCCCAGCAGGTACGATACGTTCGTTTTCCCGACCAAGCCTTGAGCGCAGCAGATGTCTTAAGGCCCCGATGGCCGACCGACTCATCGGAAACTCAGTGAATAAAGAGCCCCGAGCTGGACCAAGCGAGGGCGCAATTTTCCTACTAAAACGGGAACTACACTCCACCGGTTTATGGACGACGACAATGAAATGAATGCGTTTCAGTCGCGTTGCCACCAACAGAGTGAACACTCCTGACCAACATGGTTCTTTTCAGCCGATGAGGGGGGTACTTCTGCGCAAGGCGGATGGCTATAGAAACCAAAGCACTGGCCTAAAAGCGAACTGAAACCCGACAAGCTAAACACACAAACAAAACACGATACCGCTGGCGACCCATGTCTGTTTTAATTGTCTTCGAGCTGGGGATATACATTTTGTGTCATGTCCAAAACCCTATTTTCAGCCGTGTATGTGTCCGTGAAACTATGTGTCAGTTTGACACGTAGTTTCATCATAATTTAGTAGGCTAGTAGGACCCGGTTGTTTCCAAACCAACCAGGGGAGTCAGGTTGGTGTAGCCTGGCTCTTTCCGCGCTTTCCACCTCTGTGGCCGAGGTTCGAGTCCCACCTAGAGGTCAGCGTGTGGATTGGTTGAATTCAGTCCCTGCCTGACTAGACTCCATGGGTTAACTTCCCCCGGAATACTCATTTCTGGGTTTTCCTCCCACCTCAAAAAACCGAACATTCCTCCATCGTCTAAATGAGCTGTTGAATGAACGGATATAAAAAAAAAAGCAAAAAAAAAAAAAAAAAATTATCAAACTGAGAATGGCATTAGGAGATGGGAGGAATTACTTTGTGCTGACAAAGTTTCGTAACTATACGGGACGTATGAGGGCAGCATTCCCACCCACCAACGATGCGCACGAGGCCTACGTTAGGCTTCTTCGTAGACCTTATTTGCGGCAAAGCCAGTTTAATTTGTTCTTGTTGCCTCAATCCATCATATTCAATGTGGTCAGCTATAGAATGTTCCCAATCAGCTACAAAATCCTGCTTTCGGACTTTTTTTCCCGTTATTTTTCCTTTTAATTAGGCTTAAAACAATTGTAAATTGTATATTCTGAACAAAACTGCTGTTCATTAAATTGTATGAACTTTTTTCGTCGATGTCATTTTTACTCTTTCTCGAAATGTTTGTCTCATTTTCAATTAAAGATGGCCGACACATGAATACAACTGAGAACCTCTTAGATAAACGAATAATATTTATTTTCAACCATTATTTTGTTCAAATTTCAGGTGGGCTTCCAGCCGCAGGCAGCCACTGTAGTCACAGTAAATTTTAAAGACGCAAACTCCCAATCTCCTGATTTCCCTTTCATTCTGTTTGACCAAGTTCGTTCTCTTGTATGTGAAGACAACAACATCAGTATAGCTATGAACCCGCCTCCCCCTACCGCTTCCCTATGCGTAAATTCGTGGCCGGGATAGGGATGACGGGGAAATTTGAAAAGGGGTGCTGAAACCTTATGACATTGGGGGCGACGTTCACGATACAGATGTCCATCCGTAGTGTGTATCACACTCCCGCAGAACCTAAGATATTTAACGGCGTATTTGTGGCTTTTGACAAAGTGTTCTCTCTTTTTGAGCGCTATTGAATACAACTTTGTTGTTGGAAGGTCTGAAAAATTCTTCACAACACGCTTTGATTTTTTTTCTGCACGAAAAGGTGGGCGGTGTTTCAAGGGTGGAAATCTTCCTCGGGGATTTACGCCCATATCTGATTCTGTAAGCTCTCATTCGTAGAAATAGTCTAAACCGTCGGCTCTCATCGGATAGACCAGAGGTGGCAGCAAGTCATTTTTAGCAAGTCCAAGTCAAGTCACAAGTCATTAGGTCCAGTCACAAGTCAAGTCACAAGTCATTTGGTCACAGGGCAAGTCGAGCCACACGTCATTTGGTCTAAACACAAGTCAAGTCACAAGTCATTTGGTCATAGGGCAAGTCAAGTCAAGTCGCAAGTCATTTGGTCTAAACACAAGAAGTCAAGTCACATGTCATTAAGTCCAGTCACAAGTCTCTTTGTCCAAGTACAAGTCAAGCTGCGCATTATTTTGTCCAGCTGCAATCAGAAAAAAGAACCTGGCGTCAACTTACAAAGTTACGAGTTATAAAAATCGATGGGGCCGGTCGAGCAGCGTCTGACTTGGGTTGTTATCAAGTCATAATTTTTTTTGCAAGTCCAAGTCAAGTCACAAGTCAAAGCTGGTATTTACAAGTCAAGTCACAAAAATAGCAACTCGAGTCCAAGTCATATGACTCTAGTCAGCAACTCTAGGATAGACCTTGTTCAATTTTAATAAGCCTTATGAGAAATCTGATCGCATACCAAAAGTCATCGAAACGTTTTTTTTTTCATTTGCTGAAATTTGTTTGTCGTCACAGGCGACTCCCGTTCCTGGTCAACCGGTGATCGTCCGCACCGCTGCCGTCGGCGCGCAGCCCAACGACTTTTTGGCGTTGGCCATCATTGTCACTATCTTCTGCTGTTTGCCTCTGGGAATAGTGGGGATCTTGAAGTCCATGGAGGTAAGTAGCATGGCAAAAGAAGCTAGCAGTACCAACCACACAGACAAACGCTGAGCAAAAAATAAGCCCTTGAACCAGACCATCAAGGAATATAGAACACAGACCGGGACAGACGAGCCTGAGACTAGACCTGACCTGGCCAAGCTACACAAATCAAGCCAAAACCAAAAAGAATAACAAGCAAAAAAACTTGCTGCTCCTGTCGCACCCTAAGTGCATGTTGAATCCGGACTGATCGGTTGGTTGGGCTAACAAACCGTTCAAGTATGGCTGAGAGATCAGCAAGACCTCTTCAGTAGTACACTGAGTATGAGAATTCTGGATCATTTTCATAAATAATTTCTCCAAGGGTCCGGTGTCTTTATCTCTCGAAGGGGGATGGACATCGTCTAGACCGTAGCCGATCCAAGCAAAGACTTTATTGCAGTATAATCTTAAAACTCGCTGCGGACATCTGTTTAACAAAGCCAAGAAAGTATCTCTAGTGTATCACGCGACTGTTCATGAATCAGGATTTTGTTAACGTTAAGGATCTGATCGAAGGGGATTGGCTTGGGACGCTTGGAGGCGGCAGACAAACTGGCCCTTTTGGCCAGTTGTTGGGTAGTTCTGAGCACGCGCACAACTGTTGAAAAGGACCGATTTGTCCGCTACCAAGTGTCTCCAAGATTGCCACTGAATGACAAACTTATATTATTGCCACTAGTAACTTAGCTAGATCGGATTCTTTTTACGAAAGTATTTTTCAGATCGTACAAAGACATCACGCTTCATGCGAAGAGTCAAAATATTTTCGGCCACGGTGATGTTTACAAAATTTACAGGGTGAGGCAGACTTCAAATCATTGTCTAAATAATTATTGTCCAAATAACGGAAAATGCTTATCCCACTGTGGCCTCTTCCCGGTTTACGATCACAGGTCCGGAGCAAGTGGGCTGCAGGGGACGCGGCCGGGGCCCAGCAGGCGTCGCAAGAGGCCAAAAAGTGGTCCCTGATCGGTCTGATCGTGGGCATCGTCGCTGAAGTCATCGGGGTCATCATCGTCATCGTCTATTATGTAGCCATCGCGTCCAGCGTCTACTCTTACTATTAACGGGGACCGCACCGCTGGGGGCCGCATTTGTCTCACACGGATCTGGATCACGATCGGTGATTCGTCGTTGGTTTATGGACACCAAAAGTCGCCTAATGGATGATGCGAACCAGCATTGTTGCATACGCGTTAAACTGCCCTCACACGAGTTTGTAATTTGAAAATTGTTGCATAATGCATTGCTTTCTTCTAAATTGTCGCTCGTCATTGGCCTAGTTCATGATTATTGTGTGTAATTTCACTCTGGAATTATGACTCTGTTTCTTTGACAATAATAATACGCATAGTTTGCCAACGAGTTTTTTTTTACGAGCTTGTGCTTAAGGTTTAATGTGCTAAGCGATATTTTTTCTGCCTAAAAGTGGGGCCCACGGTAGACTTGACTCAAGTCGGGATCTCCGATCTGTGACGTCTTCGTTTTTGCTATTAAGTACAAATCGAACGAGACCGTGCGCCGTTACTTGCTTCGCGCCCTGTTGTGTCAACTTATTTCTGTCAGTTCCTGACTGGTGACACGGCTCGAGTTTGGGCGGCCTGTTCTAGGCACGGGTTTCGTGTTCTCGCGCTCGCACGCCGGGAACATGACCCAAGAACACTGTCTCGTAACGCGATCACACACCATCTCCTCATCGGGGTTTTACACAAACACACGGAAAATTTCGTGAGATTTCATTCTTGAAAACTGTAAAAACTATCGAGATGGCTTACAAAGCTGGAGACAATGGAACATTTTGCAAGATTAACATTAATGATTAACCATGGCAGAAATGCTTTTTTAATGGAAGAGAATTCAGCCCAGTTTTCAAAAAAAAAAACTCTCAAAGAATGCACAAGGACGCCGCCATGTTGCATTTTGCTCGCATGCTATAAAATAACTACCGGTAGTACGATAACCGGTTGTACGTTCCTGGCGTTCGAGCAGCCGACCCAGGAAAAACAAATCGAGCTGTTCGTGAACATCCGAGACTAAGCCACCCGAACTCAGCCACGTTGTACAATAAAGGCTATAATGAGGGCGCCTTATAAGGGTTACGCGAGCTTGCGGGCCGAGCGCGACCGCCGTGTGGTGCGTACCGACTGAAGGGATGGGGCGGGGATGGCTGACTAAGGAAGGGCAACGTAAGTCCGACTTGATTCAAGTCTAGGCCCACGGTATCCGTAATGTGAGCGCCAACAGCGACCGTTATGAAGGGACCCCCTTGCAATATCTGGGAAAATCCTGGACACAGCGGACAGAGGTTCTTCATAAGTATAGCTCTAAGAACGAATAAAGTATTACTAAAAACTGAGAAAAGGGGAGTGATTTGTTTAATTTCATTCCATACACCCGTGTCATTCTGTATAATTATGCTTTATGTAATTAATTGTTTCAAAACAAAAAATCAGACATGGTAAATATCTTCAGCATTTGCTCCTTGTTTATTTCAATGCAAGTGATCTCTAGATCATCGAAATATAGACTTTGGTAATTTCCTTTAAGAACGGGGCGTTGCCTAATCTTTCTCTTCACCCAAGCAGCAGGCCTCAGTTCTACAATGTACTGTCCATAATACTTTCCAGATTGCGCTGACGACTGTATCTAATCCTACAGATATTTGCATGGCTGCCATCTTGCAGGCCATTGCTTTTGTTCCACAGGGTATGCGCAGAGGGGGCTCCTCTGTAGAACAAAAGAACTTCCCCTGCAAGATGTTTTCCACGCAACGCCTCTAGCTTAAGTGTACGAGATTACCAGTAAGTCGACACCTCAAGCTGGAGAAACGTCTAGGCATTACGCGACATACAGACGCGTACGCACACGCGATGCAGTGACCAGTGACGTAAATGTTCACGTCTGACTGCACAGCGCTTGCGGTACGCGAGAGAGTGAACGTACACTACACGTACGGTAGGGATTTTCGTTTGACTTCTAAGTCTATGGGCATGTACATGCCCATAGACTTAGAAGTCAAACGAAAATCCCTACCGCACCGCGTACACGCGGTACACGACAGTTCAATTATTCAGCTAGCTGGCCTCCCGACGGTCTCGATTTGATCTTTATCGTCTGATCTGGGAAATTTCGCTAACTGTGCTTGTTGTTGGAGTCCTTACTACAACAGCTAGTGAAAGTAGATTATCTTGACTCGAGATTGGCCCCCGCTGAGACTTGTCTGAAGTCGCGAAAATGTCTGCACCAGGTGAGTAAATCCATGTTAAGTTGGTTTCGCTCTCTTTGGTGGTGTGAGGACGGGAAAAAAAACACGATCATCAACGCTGCGCTGTTGAGCTGACCTATTCCCCGTTGTTGTGTTGACATCAACGGTCAGTACAGTGATGGTCGATGCTGGGCATGAGCTACGGTGCAGGATGGTGTAGGCAATTCCAAGGCCATCTTCTATTGGGAATGCAAGAAAAGTGAAATACAGTTGAGCCTCGTTACTTAGAGGCCCTTCAGACTTTGCAAATTACCTTGTTATAACAGGAACCTTGTATTATCAGGAATGAAAACAATGATATACAAAGGATTTGGACGTATGATTAACCTTGTAATAAGCAGACTCTGTATTAACAGTGCTCTTATTAACGAGGTTCAACTGTACTGGTTGGCTTTGTCGTAGTCAGGATAGGTCATGTTGTTTACATGTTAATTTCAGATGCCACCATAGAGGACGGAGCCGCAAATCACTGTCTGTACATGTATTTATAATAAGAGGCGAGGGCCAAGTAAGAAATAAAACATGCCTGGCGTCCAGGTTTTTCAAGATTACTTCAAGGTTGCTTTTTTTCTTTCTCGCATATCCAACAGTCGTTGATGTATCAACTTTCCAAAGACTTGAAAATGAAAGAGATACGTTGAACAGGAGGCTGATTTTAAGATAGTATTAAAAGTGTCAACTAGATTTTTCATCAACTTTGTTTGTTCGTGGAGCTCCATGGTTTGTTTCACTGTTTCACTAGGGGAAAATGTACCCCTTTCCAAGGGGCGAGAGCATGGGATTTGTTGCCGTAACCAACAAAATATGAAATGGCCATACGAAGGTAGTCACATTGACAGGTCTTACAAATGAGACGTTCCGACCCACATTTAGTTTTGAACGGATTGATGCTTTTTCTTTGTTTCCTGGGTTCAAAGTTAGATAAAAAGCAGGCAGCCACCGAAACGGAAGCTGACTCTGCACGACCTTATTTCTGTTTTTTTTTTTTTTTTTAATTTTTTCCTTGTTTGATACTGATATGACCTAATCCTTATAATGTACAGTTTCATCTGCAACCACTTTCCAAAGAGTAGGCCGGCTAATATTTTCAAAAGACAAAAAGTGGACACTGGGCATACTCAAAAAGTTGTCAGGCATTTTGACGGTAGTTCTACTGATTTGGCTGTTTATTTTTCGTCGCTAAGCCTCACATCTGTGTAATTCCAGAAATTAGGGGTCCCTTTTTTGTGTCCCTGTCACATCTGTCACGTGATTTTGCAAGTTCAGAACACATTATCTAATCCCCAAGGGTGATGTTTATGAATTAATGCAAATTATCTGCCCAACAAATAGTAATAGTTTGAAATCAATGCCGGTGATATTTCCCTGTTACAGTTAATAACAAAGGTCACACTTTTAGACCCCTAATTTCTGGAATTACCCATCTGTAATTGTCAAAATTGTTTTGCTTTTGTTTTGTATTTTCAAGCTTATTTCCGTGTAAAAAGCGTTCATACTCATGAGAAGGCTCTGTAAAAACTGGGGTGTTGAAATTGGTGTTATGATGACCCACACCGAGATGTGTAAGTTCAGCACCGCTGGTGTTAGTTTTCACGCCCACATGTACAGATGTAACAGTGTACTGGAGGGTGTGAAAAGTGTAAACCAACGGTGTTGAACAACACCAACAAGTTTAATTAACACAAATGGTCGCCTGATAACCCTAGCGTTGTTAAATTTAACACCTCAGTTTGTGCAGTGTTGATACGTGAAGTTCTGCAAATCGCATCGGGCTCGACCCCAGTTTCATATCCTTGTTTTAGGTCCAGCAGCCCACGTGCCAATTCTGTTAGCATTACCTGCGATCGTGCACTTTCAGTGCGCGAGGGTGGCGTTCATTTAAATGCGTCCGCAGTGACTCATTTCTTCCAAGAGTTCGTTGAAATAAGTTGGAATAATAAAAAAAGAAATGATCCGCTGAGAAACGACAGCCCGAATTATTTACAAAACTTCCTTGCGTAGGATTTCTGTTTCTGTTTTTTGGCATGCTTTGATATTTATGCTCTGGTTTTTTTTATTGTTTGTTTTGTTTTGTTTTTTTCTTTCAAAAAAATTGGGGTACCTGAACGAGGATAATTCTCACAGCGGGTCAACGTTTGACAATCGTGTACAGAGCATAGCGTGAGGTCTTACCCCCAAAAGTTAGCCTACAGGCCTCAAGTCAAGTGTAACAAAATGGTTCCCAAACGCGGAAAAATACACATGGGTGTGTGTGCCTGCAACTGGGGACCCCCTATTGTTCCTCTTTTGTTTGAACTTTTTTAGAAAACCACCCATATGTTTTGTACACAGTTGTCAATCGGAGACCTTCTGTCAATCGGGGACCTTATTGCTCTCTATTGTTCAGGGTCCCAAATTGAATGCAGAAGCAAACTCGAATACACACTGGTAGGGTGTGGGTGTGTGTGTCTGCCCCACTGATACCAGTGTTATGGACCAAACACGGGGGACCTACGATGGAAACGGCTGCAGTATGACGTGATCGTCCTTGCTCAGACTTCTCCCGGATTTGTCGCTTCGGAAATTTACAAATGATTGCAACCGTAAACCCAATACGTGTATCAGTAGGAGATAGAATGTCCACTGTGTCTCCCCCCCCCACCCCGTCCTGTCATGTGTAGCCCCTCCCCCCCCCCATGAATTTGTTCCTACTTCCTCTGTAGCAACTTTATTGCAGTGGTGGACGGTAGTGCGATTTTATTGTCACGGTACACAAATTAAAAATGAGTTCCCGTAGGCGCTTCCTTGTGAAGAAATATCGAATATCGGCGATATATGTGTTAAAGTGTTTACGCTGGCAATTGTTTCTCGACCCAAATTTTCCAGAATAAAAAGGTTTGATTTCCACTGAGTGAGCAAAACTGGCCTTGTTTTGTTGCGGTGTTTTTACATGCACGAGCGGTACATGTGTAGTATGCAGGACAGCGTCCAAGTGATTCCAATCGGTTCACGAGAGGCCTTCAAGGACATTAAGCGCCAAACAGCCCCTAAAACATGGCAGGCAGGGGCAATGCACTCGTGTGAACGGGAAACGGAGGGGGGGGGGCTGACGGAGGACATAATGACTTCACAAGTTACAAAGACATCCTACACGGATGCAAGGGCAGACGAGGCCAGTTAATGATGCATGCAGTGAACAACCATTGGCGATATTGCAATGGCATTATACGGGGGGGCTATGCGTACAGGTCACCGGGGTGACACGTTGACAACTCTCAGCAGGTATCCGCATTAATACTGTGTGAGCCATGCATACGACATTTATTCATGGTTCAAGGGCGACGTGCATCCGCATTGGGGCGTTCTGTTTTCCTGGGAAAGCTCGTTCCATAGTGACAGAAAATAGTCAGATTTGAGCCAAGTGGGAGGAGTCACTGTTCTACATTTACCTACATGTAAATGACGCGCGGCTCATTATGTGACTTGCTATATAAACGCGGTTTCTGATGGAACCCGGATGAGCCAAGACGTGTGGAAAACCTGTGTTGAAAACAATAATTAATGAGTGGCCTGGAGCAAGGAGGTCAACCCCAGAACACCAGTGACCACGAGGAACATTCAAATAACAAAATAATCAATTACTGAATTAAGATGTCACCGACACCTCAAGTTAACAACCCCCCTTAAGTCGGTGTCAGTTCGTGAGAACCACATCAACAACGTTTTCCAATACTCGACTTAGGCTCCGTCTCAGGCTTCAACTGGTTTTTTTACTTCCTCACTTTGAGGTTGTAAGCGCACTATTAAGTCTGATAGTGCCACAAAACATCGAGTAAGATGCAAAAGAGCCAAACGTTACCGTACTTCAATTTAAGTTAAACGCTTCTGGCCCAGAATCGGGGATTGGTTTCCTACACGAAGCCTGAGACGGAAGACGAAGTTGAGTATTGGAAAATGGCAAGGTGTTACTTGCCGCCATCGGGATCTGACTCCGTTGCCCAAACTTTCTGTTTTCACCACGTCTTTGCGGCTTCGTCTGAAGTTTCCACACAGCGCCCGCTGGCGTCGTTTCGAATTTCAAGGAAGGTTAAAAAAATAATCTTTTCTTGGTTACGTTTTTCTTAAGCACGGGGATATCCTTTTTACAATAAACTCCATTTCCGTCTACAAAAAAAAAACACGCGTTCAGCCAACAGACTCCGGTTGTTTCCGCAAAGACATCGAAGATTCCCTCCTGCAGAGTTCTGTTTAAGCAGAAAGTTTCAAAAGTGTCCATTCTTGTCAGAGGAAAGTGGAAAGAAACATTCACATTGTTTGTAAGTTATGCGCGCGGCATCGGGCGTTGACATCCGGACACCATTCATATTTCTCTGACAATGTTTTTGTGTGTTTACAACCTCTTTGATCTTACCATGGAAAACAACTTTCTCCAGAAAATGTATCCTTTTACCCTCTCTTTATCATCTGCACTATTTCCCTTTCGTTAAAAACATGTTTTCCCAGTTGCATCTATGCTTCCTGTTTGCTTTAGAATTTTCTTATTATTGTTCCAGTCGGACCGTTACTGCGCTGTTTGGAGAATTCTTTCAATGAAATCCTTTTTCATTTGCTTTCAGGGGCGTAGCCAGGCTCATCGGGAGGGGAAGAGTTCCCCCGGGGGCAGATGCCCCGTTTTCCCCTCGGTTGTGCCACTGAGTTTTCATAATAGAAGGCACTTTCAAGAACCTTTAAATAGGTTATGACCACAGAAATACATCGACGCACTATGGCGTGGCTCGCGGGTCAGGCTAGTAAAATGTTTCTTCACGTAAACGCCCAATTTCCAGTTTGTGCTCTGTGGGATTTGAGAGACTTCTGTAAAATGTGTCTCTCCTCTCGAAACTTCATTTTCTAAAGGTGTCATCTCCCTCGTAACCTGATTACCTTCGTCTGGTTTCACCCGTGTTTCGGACGCATACTGTGAAAATCGTCGTATGATATAATGATGAGATTCTGAGTTTTCATAAAGCTAACAGCGTTTACCGACTGTCTGCTTTGAGCAGAATCACCCCCTCATCGGTTGAAAAGAGCCATTATGGTCGGGTGCCTTCANTTTTGTTGTTAGCGATGCGACAGTACCGCGTGCGTTCTATAGTCTTCTGTGAACCAGCGAAGTGTAAATCTTACAACAGTATCCTACGTTGCAAGGAAAATAATTGCGCTCTCTCTTGGTCCAGTCGGGGCTCATAAGTCGGCGACAACTTTTAGCATTTACTGCGATAGCACAGCGCTCCTGGGCAGATGACATACATGTAGTGTGCGTTGCACGCCTCTATCAACAGGTAGATTTTTGTATGGCACATCTTGTCATCCTCCGGCAATGGCGAACGAACAAAACCGACTTGAAATGAAGACTATAGGACGTCTGTTATGGCGTCTTGGTTTTTAACCATTGATTTGCATTGTAAAAACAAGTACACTTTACACACATACGCAATAACAGGTCATTCGAGTGAGTAATTTAATAAGAAAATTGTCAGTTAATTCTGGAAATGATATTTTTGCATTTTCTGTTTATTTTTGCCTTGTTTTCGAGAGGAAGGGCTTAGCCCCCTTCCCATGAGAAAAAGGTTATTTCCACCATCAATTTTGACTAGAAATGCAAATGACATTACCTTGCTGAAGCGCCGCCATTGTACGGCCGCGCATTTTGTGCGCAAACGATGCAGGATGCCCTGTCCAGTCTATATGATGGAGATCAATGGTTTGTACTTCGTGGTTGTCATTGGTCACCGCTGCTGCTCGCCTGCATGGTTCTGGAAATTGAATTAGAATGCGTAACAAGTCGTTTCCGCGCAACCACACCAACAAAGGCTGAGCGAATAACACAAGGCCATTTTTTTTCAGTACAATGTACTGTAGCGCACCATTGTCACGATGAGATGGACCACGACGACCTGTGTAAAATGTATGATGTTTTCACTTTAAGGAAAGTACATGTACTACGTACGACTCTGTAAAATATTCTTACATGTACAGTACATGTAGTTGTCACACGAGCGCGAGTGGAACGCAGAATAATGTAGTACCTCTGTGTCCCGTACGGCGCTCTATGAGTGCCATCCGACTTGTTCAGGTACTGAGATAATTTATCTTTGTAAGTCGACTTATAAAGCGTATTTAGTCGATTTAACGAGATAAATGATGTAGTTAAGTTGACTTCCTAAGTCGACATCGCGAGATATTTTATGACATCAAGCTTGCTTCCAGAGTTCCCTATATCGACTTGGCGAGATAATTTATACAAATAAGTCGACTTCTTAATTCAAGTAAGTCGACTTGGCGAGATAATTTATGTTGTTAAGTCGACTTCTTAATTCAAGTAAGTCGACTTGGCGAGATAATTTATGTCATCAAGTCTACTTCCNGTTTGTTGTTAGCGATGCGACAGTACCGCGTGCGTTCTATAGTCTTCTGTGAACCAGCGAAGTGTAAATCTTACAACAGTATCCTACGTTGCAAGGAAAATAATTGCGCTCTTTCTTGGTCCAGTCGGGGCTCATAAGTCGGCGACAACTTTTAGCATTTACTGCGATAGCACAGCGCTCCTGGACAGATGACATACATGTAGTGTGCGTTGCACGCCTCTATCAACAGGTAGATTTTTGTATGGCACATCTTGTCATCCTCCGGCAATGGCGAACGAACAAAACCGACTTGAAATGAAGACTATAGGACGTCTGTTATGGCGTCTTGGTTTTTAACCATTGATTTGCATTGTAAAAACAAGTACACTGTACACACATACGCAATAACAGGTCATTCGAGTGAGTAATTTAATAAGAAAATTGTCAGTTAATTTTTAGCATTTTCTGTTTATTTTTGCCTTGTTTTCGGGAGGAAGGGCTTAGCCACCGTCCCATGAGAAAAAGGTTATTTCCACCATCAATTTTGACTAGAAATGCAAATGACATTACCTTCCTGAAGCGCCGCCATTGTTCGGCCGCGCATTTTGTGCACGAACGATGCGGGATGCCCTATGCAGTCTATATGATGGAGATCAATGGTTTGTACTTCGTTGTCATTGGTCACCGCTGCTGCTCGCCTGCATGGTTCCTGGAAATTGAATTAGAATGCGTAACAAGTCGTTTCCGCGCAACAACCAACAAAGGCTGAGGGAGTAACACAAGGCCATTTTTTTCTTGTACAATGTACAGTAGCGCACCATTGTCACGATGAGATGGACCATTAAGTAGTACAAACGCAACTATCGTGTTATATACGACGACCTGTGTACAATGTATGATGTTTTCGCTTTAAGGAATGTACATGTACATGAACTTACGTACGACTCTGTAAAATATTCTTACATGTACAGTACATGTAGTTGTCACACGAGCGCGAGTGGAACGCAGAATAATGTAGTGCGTCTGTGTCCCGTATGGCGCTCTTTGAGTGCCATCCGACTTGTTCTTTGTAAGTCGACTTATAAAGCGTATTTAGTCGATTTAACGAGATAAATGATGTAGTTAAGTTGACTTCCTAGGTCGACATCGCGAGATATTTTATGACATCAAGCTTGCTTCCAGAGTTCCCTATATCGACTTGGCGAGATAATTTATGTAAATAAGTCGACTTCTTAATTCAAGTAAGTCGACTTGGCGAGATAATTTATGTTATTAAGTCGACTTCTTAATTCAAGTAAGTCGACTTGGCGAGATAATTTACGTCATCAAGTCTACTTCCNGCTGTCAAGTCGATTTCCCAATTCTAGCAAGTCGACTTGGCGAAAACAAAATACGCTTCAGGTCTCATTCACTTGTTATTGTGAGTAGTCAGTTCATGCCTGCATGTTGTACACTTGATGACATAAATTATCTTGCCAATTCGACTTACTAGAATTAGGAAGTCGACTCATTGACATAGATTATCTTTTCAAGTCGACCTACCAGGCTACCAGAATTAGGAAGTTCGATTGACTACATAAATTTAATTGCCAAATCGTCTTCCCACAATTGTAAAGTCGACTTGACAACATAAATTATCTCGACGAGTTGACATCGCGAATTCCAAAAGCAGACTTGATGACATAAGTTATCTCGCCAAGTCGTCTCACCAAATAAGGGAGTCGATTTAACTACATAAGTCGACATAGGGAATTCCGAAAGTAGCTTAGCCTTTAAACACATTCCTAATCTCATAAGAATTAGCGTGTCTCGGTTAAATATGTTTTTAATAAAGTGGGTATAAAAAGCAAGTGTTTACAGATGTGTTCACAGTCAAAGCCCCTTTGTGGGGTCTTGAATAGAACTGATCCACAGAGCGTTTAGATTTCGCCATAGATGGAAAGATGGAACGTCTTTCACTGAGATAGACTTCAGCGGGAAACTTCATATGCCTGGTTAATGCACAGCGTGAGTCGTGTTGTCGGTGAATAATCTCCTAGCATTCACAATATTTTTGATGGTCTACAACTGAGATCCAAACGGTATTTTTTTGTAGCGTAATGTGGTTAAATGTTATACAGTGTGACGTGACAGGAAGTGTAAGTCAAACTAATAGCAATATTAATCCTCTGTCAAATCCGTCAAGAGTTGAAACTCAAGGGAGTTCACAAGAGTACATTAATACCAATTTACACTTAAAACATGAAAAATTATATTAAAGAATAAATTATTACATAAACATGTAAAATGTAAAAACGTGTAATATTACACAAAAGCTAACAAACAATTAGTAATCTTTCGGAAAAAATTCAAATGCCTGCGCGTTAGTCACATTGTAAACAACAGGCAGATATAGACGTGATATTAAGGCACGGCAAGACGTGCGGGTGAGAATTGGGCGTCTTGGCAGGGTGTGGAATGGCTAGGTCATGTCCTGTAATGACATGACACAACATGACACAATACATAAATATAGCTCTATGATCCTGACAGTGTGGAGCGGGCGTTGGCATGACGTGACGTGATATGTTGGTTGGCGCTGCGTTGCGTGGACTAACGTGCCTTGATTATTAAAGGGTAACTGCAAAATGTTTTCCCATGGACAATTTTTATAACTCTTTCTACTTATGGAAACTGTGTAACATTTATTCTTAGGCTAAAATCGAACAGTGCACTTTAAATTTTCAAAAGTGTTCGTACCTCTCTGGACACCTGAGGGTGTTCTTGCTGTGATGTCATCCAGGAAGGCATTGTTCAATTCCTAAGTGTTTTCTATTCAAATTTTGAGCCCAAACTTTTCCCAGAAAAGGTTGGCTTGCTGTCTTATTGTTATGTACTTACTTCAATAGTATTTTACTAATGAAGAAATTTCAGAAAGTTCAGGCCAGGGATGTACAGTGTATATACAAGTCCAGTTGGGTTTTTGCTTTGTTTTTTGTTGTTGTTTTTTTCAAAAACCAATGGACCATTGACGCTTTCTTCCCAGAATGACGTCACTGCTTTGCTCGCGAAAATGGAAATACTCATTAGCATAAAACAACAAGGCTGCAAAAAAGAGAAAGTAAGGGTGCGTTTTGATTGTTTGCATGTAAAAACTGTTGCACTGCAGATGACCCTTAGGAATGATGTACTGTCTGACCTGATTATCCTATTAGGTGAATTCAACGCCGAAAAGCCACCAGCATACAACCAGGACTACCCTCCTCAACAGGGCTACCCTCCTCAACAGGGCTACCCTCCTCAACAGGGCTACCCTCCTCAACAGGGCTACCCTCCTCAACAGGGCTACCCTGCACAGCAGGTAATCACGCAGAGTCTTGTTAGACTGAGCAGCGACCACCTTAGACCACAACGACTGTTCATTATTATCATGTGTGTAATACAGTGCAGCGTGCGGCGATGATTACTGTGTGCCATCTGTGTGGGTTCACTGGCGAATGAAGATGCATAATTATCCGCCATTTTGTATTTGTTTCAGCAATTTCAACTCTGTCTCTTTGTACACGGAACTTGCGAAACAAATCCATACTCCGTGAATGAAATCTCGCTCGTCAGTGTCACGCACGACTGCGCAACCCGGGGTCATCTGCCAGTAAAATAATATGTAAATTCCTGCCTAAAAAATTACAAATGAAATTGCAATAAATTAATAAAACCTTGACCCTTTAATATTCGGTTTCTACAACTACTTATTTCTGGTTTTTTGCAGCCTGGGTATCCTCCACAGGCAGCGTACACCCCACAGCAAGGTGCTGTAGTCACGGTAAGGTCACTACGGCTGCAGCCCAGTCCGCTTCGAGAACATTCGAGAGCGGTGGGGCTTGCCGGCTATATCAGCCAGTTTGGCATTTTAAAACGGCAAGGGCATTCGGGAACGAAGGACGCGTGCGCCAGTGGCCGTATGGCCGTGCTGCTGGGTCAGACCTCGCTCACGCGCGCGTATTGCTGTTTCCGAATGACCTCCGACGCGCTTTCTTTTGAGCACGCGCCGATGGAATCCTGGACTGGCTCATTTTGGGAACAATTCCTACAGAACTAAAAAAGCAAACTGGAGAGAAGAAGAAACAACGTTGGTATTCTAAGAGGAAACAACTTCGGAGAAAATGCAACTGCCAGCAACCTTTTTTAATTAAACATTCAAAAATGAATCAAGGGGATGAAAGAGTCACAGCCAGATATGCAGACGAGGCACAAAATTTGGAAACTTGCCTCGAATTGGATCGACCCACTGGACAGACCTTGCCTTCCGTTGAGAAACGCTAACATCCATTTTCTTTGTTGGGCCAAGTTGGCAGAAACTTCTAACCCTTAGGTTGGCAAGAGCTTTGGGCCAAAAATGCAGATTTGCTCAAGTTTTGTTAAAGGTGAAGTTTAAATTCTGAGCAAAGACTGTTTCCTTTTTCAGTTATTGTGTACTGCTGAAAACATGTCAAAATAAACAAACGATTATGTTTTTGTTTTCACCTATAGAAAAACAACTCTTGAGACTCGATTTTTCATTCCCCGTCTGGCTATCTTCATGCAGATTTAGTGAGATTTTTACACTTTAGGAATTGTTCCTGTTTTTATGCTTTTTATGCATGGCCAATCATTGTTTGCTAAAACTGCTTGGCAAAAACTACAGCGGCGACATGGCATACGAAAGGTTCTTGACGTTATCTACCGTTTGCTCTTGTTCCCAGACTACCCCACAGAGCACGGTCATTGTCCGGACTACTGGCATCCAGCCTAATGACCACCTCATCTTCGCGATCATCGTCACTTTGTTTTGCTGCCTGCCCTTCGGGATTGTTGGCATCATCAAAGCCATGGACGTAAGTAACGCTTTGAAATCTTGGTTTCCCTGGATTAGACTGTAGGCTTACTGTTCACCTCCATACCATCTGCCTTGAGCAGAAGCACGCCCTCATCGTTTGAAAAGAGCCATATTGGTCGGGAGTTTTCATTTTGCTGGTGTAGCGGCTCGACCGTAATGCATACATTTCAGAGTCGTTTGTGAATCAGCAAAGTGCAGTTACCACCGAAGGAACCTCCATTGCATCGAGCTGTGTTTAGACTAGTCTGGTTCCCTAACCAAAGATTCCCTGATGTCGCTAGATAAAATCTTAGGTTAGCTATCACCTACGGATATAAATACATCATGACGCATCATGTCAAGGGTCACTATAGGCCTATAAGAAAAGCCTAGGATCCTATGTTTAGATATACATTGACGGTCACTTTGAAAACATACAAAAACTCAAAAAAATGCGAAGGAAGGAAGCAATATTGTGTTGCATGTGGACAACAAGGAAAGGAAAGATACGTGTACCATTGTGTATATCTCATTGCACATGCAGACACGACCTAAAATAATTATCCGAACACCAACGATGCAATCCGAATGTGGACGGGTCGAGTTCGGAATATTTCGGCCATTTTCGGCAAATGGAGGTATTCCTCCTGTTGTCACGTGGTCGTTGGGTGATACCAGACCCTTGATTCATCAAGCATGTTCGAAGTCATCGGATCTGGTGTCCTGATGAAGTTGCGACGAGGGTGCTGCGAGGAATGTTGCTCCCTCCCTTGGTCAGGCTGGGGGGATCACACATTGTGTGACATTTGTATGTTTTTCTCATCTCAATGCACTTCTTCCCATCTTCCTTCCACGCGCATTTGGACAGGTGAGGAATCGCTGGGCGGCAGGGGACGCTGCGGGCGCCGAGGCGGCTTCGAAGGAGGCTAAGAAATGGTCCTTGGCCGGCCTGATCACCGGTATCATACTTGAGGTGATCGGTGTCGTCATCATCATTGTTTACTACGTCGTCATTGTAGCTTCCTTTAGCAACTTTTATGGCTAGCCTCGTGCTCCAGTCACAGATCTGTTTCCATCACAGGTCTGCATTCATTATGGTTGTAAGACGGCGAACTAAACAGTTATTATTTTTTTTAAAGATTCCTTTATATATCTGAGTTGAACTGTGTCATGTCATTCTGTGACTAGTATATTCACTGTAACAAACCCAACATATGTAAATATTATCCGGAAAGTTGACTCATTGCTTCATTGTTAGTGATTTACAATACTGAGAGAAAAACAGCTCACAGTGACAAAGAGACCAGTCAGCGTGTGTGCCGAATACGTGAAAATGGAAAGTTGCTCATGACGCATGAGCATTCAAGGACCCATCAAAATTATACCATGAAAGCTGACAGCTTCGGTACTCCCAATGAGTCCATTATAACGGAGATCAATGGGCACTCTATACTGGTATTGCTGACGTCATCATTTGACCTTTCCTTTTTTTTCCTCTTTTTACTGAGACTCAAACTTGTAACATCTGTTTATACTGTATATAGTACAGAGCATTTCTAGATAGTAAACCAGTTTGCTTACCCTACCTTAAGGGTTTTTATTAAAATGTAATGGAAAAAATTATAGTATACATTAAAGTGGTACTCCCAGAGGCTGAATTAGAATAATGTGTGTTATCGGTCGAGCTATTTGATTTTAATACGTACTTTTCTCATCTTTCAGCCGTTTTTTGTATAGTTCAAGTTAGGAAGATCGCATTGCGCGTAATTTGCTGCGCACCAGCTCCAAAGGTGGATCCAGGGGGGACGGGCCATTCCCCCTCAAAAAAAGGGGGCTAATAATTTTGTTTTTTATCTGAGTGATGACAGAAAGGCGATATTTTTGTCTATTTCGTGCTCCTTTCTCTGAAAAATTGCCTAGGCTATAACCCCAGCGAGGGTGAAAACTCCGACTACCGGTAGTTTAGGCTGTGTCAACCCAATGTAGGGGACGGAAATTAATTTCTGGTTTGTTTTAACCAAACAGTGATTAATATCCACTCATTTTGTGGATGACAAATGAAACAGAAAGTACTTCTCAACCCAAAACTGGGTGAACACAGCCCATATTTGGGTAGTTGCTGTTTTCACCCTTCCTTGGGTTAAAATTGAGCCCGGGCAATTTTTCACTTTAAGCATGTGCTGTTGAAATGCCGCTCTGGTTCATCGGAACTTTTCGTTTGGTTTGTATGTGAATCGAAAGCGCCACGGGCTTTTATTGGGCACACCGACCCACGTAATCGAATTTCAGGATATGAAAACTGGAGGTTCTGGTTCATCATCTTCAAAGGCCCTATAGTCTTGGATCCAAGACCTGCCATAGTTCATTCCACGACCGCGACACCAATCACAGGGCGCCATCTTTGTTTTCAATTCCAGCCTTTGTGACGTCATCAACTTATATGAATAACAATAGAAGGCTCTAACGAAGCTGTTGATTGGCTCCCCAAGAAGTCGGGGGAAACCATGAAAAATATAAGCACTATATAAAATATACGTTTCTTATTGGGAAGACACTTTGGTGTAAAATTATAGCCATCCGCGAAACAAAAAGGTAACTGAGTTAGTTTATTTATTTTCACCCGGACCCATCTCTTGGGCTGGGACCTTTGTCACTTTCGTATATTCATATATTTTGTTCTATCGCGAACACTTCACCAGCGGTTTCATTTGTCGCCGGAATCAGCATGCGCATGACCAGCAAAGAGTCGTCGGCAACCGGCGCGCAGTAATAAAAAGAGTCGTGTAGTTGTTGAAATAACGCCATGGCTTGCTTTGGGTCCGTGTTGACCTTCGGGGGGGGGAAGTTGGAACCTGGAAATGGAAACCAATATTTCTTTCCAAAAATACCGATGAGGGTTTTCTGCAGTACTTCTGAATACTTAGAATCCACGAGTTTCCCTTTGTAGTAAGAATTTGTCATGTTCTAGGCAGAAAATTGATTAATCCGTTTGTATACTAATATCTTCTTCTTGTAATCTGTTATCGTTGATGTTGTACTTAATTGTGTAAATACCTGGAAAGCAGGCATTATTTCTTTGATACAAAGTGTCCAGAAATTGTAATGCGAATGTTGCGCTAATTGTTTTATTCCCGCAAAACAAAAAAAGGAAATCTATAGCAGTAACAGGAATATTTGTTTTTGTCTTCATAATTTCGTTTTCCTCACTGATGTTTTGATTTAATTTGGGGGAGGAGTTGTGAAGGAAAACGATTCACTTGCTCTAGTTGTCTTGCCTAGTGCGTTGTATATCTACTCAGATTTGAACGAGATGTTTATGCTAATCAGTAAGATGTAACCTTTGAAGTAGAATAAATAGCGAAGGTCTAACCAGTGATTTTACTTGTTTTGTCGCATTCGGCCGAGTAGTTTCTGCTTATAAACTCGTCATCTTTCCGGGTCATGAAATCAATGATTTGAGCCCTGTGCAAAGGCAGTTTAGCGGTGCGGTTTGCTTCTGTCGGAGGTACACACAAGCTGGCAGTTTCTAGATACCCGACTTCTGGTGTGGGCAATAGGCGTGCGGCTGCATTGAGCCGTGTATTTGGGTGCCAGCCTATATCCCAGCTAGACCACAGTACTTGTGGTCTATTTTTCACGCAGGTAAAACCCACGTTGCGCCACAAATTCCTGCTTGCCCTGAAGAAGCTAATCAGAAGCAATTTTGAAATAAACCTTTTTTTTTAAATTTGATGTTTTATTAAGTTGGGTTATTTTGACCCATCTCACAGCCCCGAGGGGGAGGGGGCGATTCTGCCCCCGCGAACTCGGCTGGGCCACACCCTATTTGCTCGAAACTTTGCCATGCGTATGTGTGCACTCCTTATCCTTACAAATGTGAAGCTTGAACTCAATCGGATCGAATGAATGGTTTCGTTGTTTGTTAAGGTCCTTTGAAGTTCAAGGCTACATATGTGTCAATGCGCGTGCATTAAGCATTGAGTGGAAAAAGTGTACATTTTTGACGGACCCTTCTCGGAAACATGCCCCCTGCGCCAAATGTCCAATTTTTGTAAAATATGGTACAACTGGTGTCAAAGTGACCACCAAGAGTTACTCTACAAACTCTTAAAGGCTCAACCTCTGAAAGAAATACCCTTGCGGCGATATCAGAATTCAATGTCAAGACGGGTGGATCCCCCCCCCCGGGCTCCTTTAGGGTTAATCTGCTAATTTGTTACCACCATACGATGAGTGCCAGGTTCCGAGTGTAGGCTTGATATTGGAGGTGTGCCCGCAAAAAGTGAAATATTAATTGAATGGATTGTCTGGATTGCGTTGTCGATCGCTGTGTCGAACTTTATTGTCTGCATATGACGAGCCGATCGAGATCGATGGTTAAAGTTCAATCGAGTTGAAGGGTTCAACTATGGAAACTTTCACCTGTGTAGTTTAATAACCTACGCCCGTGCATGAGGGCGACAATGCTTTCCGTAAGACCCCTTGATTGTGACCCGGTGACGTCGTCGCCTGCCTGTATGTATAAGTATTAAATTTCCGTGGGGCTTACCAGTTGAAGCAGCCACTCCTTGTTTTTGTTGTTCTCGAGTCCTTTGTCCGTCTGAGTTTCTGTTGACTGACAAAGGCTTCAGCAAGTGATTCGAGAGGTCTCACGAATTACTAGGCACTCCTTGTCAAAGGGTAAGACGAAATTCTTTATGCTTTTACACAAATCTCGTACCGGTTGTTTGTATGAGGGCCTCACATGTCAACAAAATTCAGCTCTCTACAACGTACGCAGTAATCATGATAGAACCGTTGGATTCTCACGGACGCTAAGGCATACTAGATTAGACCAATAGCCAGTACGGCGCTATAGTTCCGTGACCCCGGCCCCTCCCCTAAAACAAACACTACTGTTTCCAGGAACATCATCTCTTTTGTGACTAAAATTCCCCTACGCCTTCTGTCTTTATGTCACTCTGCCTAGATGCATATACATGCAGTAGCATAAAAGCAGTGGCCTAGCTAGAATTTTACTGGTGGGGGAACAAAGGAGCACCAGCATCTTATGGGGGCGCACGACCTCACAGTGGTGTGGTTTTGGGAGCAAGTTTTTGTTATCCTCCTTTTTTCAGTGGGGCACCTGGGGTACCCAGAATTTGTGGGGGGGGCACGTGCCCCCCAGGCCTCCCGTGGTACGTCACTGCTGAGTAGCATAGGACCTATCACCCCCTTTTCGAGGCAGAGCTGCTGAACTTCGTCGTTGTGTTTTCCATTGTTTCCCATTCAGACAGAGGACAGAAAGGTGTCTTGCTTGTGTCCGAATCACTTCTGTTGGATAAATTCCGGCCTCAAAGGCGCCAAAAGGGATGGACAGTCAGACCTCGCTCTCTCCGCCGCCATATGAACAGGAGGTCGGCCAGCCCGCCAAGGTGGTCCATCCCGTGGCGGGATTCCAACCCCAGCCGCTCTGTGCCGACCAGCACGCCAAGCACGACTACTACCCAGCCCAAGAACTCGGCTACGTGTCTGGAGACGTCGACTCTACACCTCAAGGTGTAGGACCTTTTCCAGGCGCCTACGCAGGTGCACCTGAAAGCCATGGAGTGGCCTTCGCTCAGCAAACGGTACTGACTAAGATTCGAAAGAGTCACTCAGTGAAAATTTCATTCTCGTCTTGTGAAAATTACCCCTCCCCCGACTGAAACTAGGGACAGAACAGATCATGCAATAGAGTTAACTTCACTCACTCGAATAGATCGAGATTTCACTCGAAAGGAGTTCCTTTTCACATAATTTTAACAGAACTTTTAACTACTGGAAGCTAAGATTTGATTTCTTCCTCTGGCATGGTTTTTCGCCAGACGATGCCATCTTGTCCGTCTGAAATCTATTGTGTCTAAGAACTATCGGTTAATTCTTTCCCTTTTTAGCATCCTCAAACACTGATGTATCATTATTTCTTCCTCCTTTGTGCAGGTAACTTTCGTCGTCGTAATTGTCCTTGTCGTGGTTACGTTTGTCGTTGTCACTTTTGTTGTCACGTACCCTCTCCCCATTTTGTTCTAACTGCGCACGATTCAGATCAAGATGACGCTCCACCTTCCGATCACATGATGAGGTTTGCACTGTTTGTCACCGTCTTCTGTTGCTTGCCCATGGGGCTCGTCGCCATGTTTCTGGGAGGAACGGAAAAGGAACTGTCTCTCTGTTATTACATAACCTCCACTTGCTACTTTTTTTCTGTTGTTCGCCCAACCTTGATACACAAAAACACCTACGCAAAGTTGTGACTCGCGTTCCAAGTCTGCAGAAGTTGAACACGCACCCTATAGAGTACCGAAGTGTGACATCACTGTGAACCAGAAAGTGCAGTGCAAACGAATGGAGTACGCGCGCATTCTGGTTCACGCGCTGGTTCTCGCGCTCATGCCTTTTACACACTAATTGTGCGCGTGACGGATTCACTTCGGTACCCTTTTCTGGCGAATTGCGCCAAGCGTGTTTCTGCTCACAGCATCTGCTTCGCCCCGCATTCGCGTCGAGTGTCAACCGGCGTCCTTTTATGAGATCCAGTGTCCATCATGACTTGCGTTTGATGCAGGTGCAGTTCTTAGGGGGCCAGGGGGCTTCAGCACCCCCCCAACTTTTGTCTAGCCCCCACCCCCATGGCTCTAGAACCGCGCCTGGTTTGATGGGCATGCTGGAGTTGATATACATAAAGGCAGGTCACGTGTGAGAATAGAGTCAATTTAAGGTAGGCGACCAGATTTCATAGGACACCGGTATGATTTGATCACATCGATCATATCAGATATCCCCGAAATCAGTTCGAGCACAGCGATTTTTTAAAGATATTAGAAGTGGTGTTTTTATTAATCACTCGGAGGTCAGCCAAAGGTGGGTCCGTTCGTATGAATCGAACAACAATACTCTCTACACTACGTCACAGATTCTGTGGCATCGTTGACGAATAAATTCGATATAAGCTAAACAGATGGACGTTTAAGCCGACAGTTTTCTGTGAATCCTGAAACGCCCATATCACTCACTAATTTCTTTAGCGCTAAAATGATATAATTAAACCTAATCGCTAAAAAAGACCAGGACTTTTTTAAACAAAAAGTATTCAGCATTACTAATATTCTTTGCCCGAGGCCTGAAGTAAACTATCTTGGGTTAATCATTCCAATCTGTCATTTAATTTGTGTAAATGTATGACACTATGTCTGACAGTGAAAACGGACTTTGGACTTGCATTCATTCTGTCCATGGAAATTTACGCCTTTTTTTTTTTTTTTTTTTAGAAAAGCAACATCTAAGTTACCAACACCCGTGTCGATCCTGGTGAGGGGAACACGGAAATCAAACTGTACCGAGTGCGTGTGCACGTACTTTGGCCGGCTCGTTTGCTATTCCATTTTCGGCTGGCCGGTGCAGTGCGTTGCTGCTAGCGCGACCAATACGCTCTCCGTACCATATCTCGAGACATCACGGATGGGTTACTGAACACGGGGAGTAGACTCGCCCGAAAGCGTCGATAAACGTCAAAAATCAAAGGGTAAGCTGTTGAATGTAATTTTGTAATTTATTTTTTAAATTTAATCTCGCTCTTTTTCAGTTTTTGGTTGACAATATTGCTGTTGTTTTGGGGTATAGCCCCGTTACAGTGAGTATCCTTATCTCGATTGCATCTGTCATGGTAGACGGAACATTTGTGAATTTTGTTTGCCTTTCTGGCTTCGCCGTGCACGCAACAAACAGAAAGGTGAACGAAAGGTTGAACACCGAGAAGTACATTTTTTCATCTACATTCACGCTGTCAATGAAGTGGGAGACAGGCGGTCAGGAGTACGTGTGTTTAATGCGTACTTGGGGGATATCGGCAATATACAGTCATAAAAAGAACTGAACTTTGTCGAAGCCCAACATTCAAGTCAGTGTCAGCACTGTTGTTTAAAGCGAGATCAGAGCTTTCGGGAACTGTTTCCTAATTGTCAGACAGTTCTAAGCATCGTGATCGATATCTAACAGTTTGAATTACCCAGCGGAGGCTTCATGTACCGGCAAAGTTTGTTGGATGTTGATAATGACATTTTGTCGTATCGATAAGATAAGCATGTTTCACCTTGTCAAGGAAAAAATTAGGAAAAATTAGGTAGACTGTCGCGTGTCTGTCACAGGCATCAGGGAGGATGGACAGAAAATTAATTTCTCCATGAGAAATTTACGGCCCTAATGACGTGTGAACATTAAGAGTCCCTTTAAGACACATTTGGAAAGTAGGATGACGGCACAGTTTGTAGCGCCAAGTATATTTTCTTTTTCTATTTAATTAAAACCAAACACTAATTTGCCTCTTTTATAATGGGAGTGGCGTACTCTCCTCCCTCCCCCCGTTTACATGTTCCTCTGCATTGTTGTAAGGATCTACATGTAAATAGTTGCGATGGCAAGCGAAAACGAGGACCCTGCCCCGGTGGAGCCCCTCCCAGCGGGAGATAAGCCGCTTCAGTACAGCTGCGTGGCCGAGACACCGAGCGTCGATGGTAAATACCCGGGAGGGATCGAAACACCGCAGACCCAGGCGGTCACCTACGTCCCCCCGCCGAGTGGCATCCACCCTCAGGCGACTCAGCCGGGGGTCGCTTTTGTGCCGCAAGGGGTCACCTACGTACCTGAGATGGGGTCCTACGCCCCCATGGGAGGGGCGTTTGCTCCCCAGACTGGCATCCCCCCGTTGCAGGTAATGCTTTGATTTGGGGTATTGTGGCTGACTGATGCAGCGTGTGTAGCTCATCCAGATGAACTCTCTAGGCGGACCAGTTAAATGCCCAAAAACAACCTCTCGCGTAAAATAGTCGAATGTCAAAGATCAGTCGCCGAAGTTTCCGGGGTTTTTTTGTTTTTGTTTGTTTATTGGGGCGTTTGTTTGTTTGCTTGTTTTTTGTTGATTTTTTGGGGGGAGGGGTTTTGCCAACCAGACAAACTTGATCTCTTCTTGATAACTGCGTGAGGCTAACAAATAAGATTGGCAGCGGAACCTGGGGGTAGCTGGGGCCAGTACCCCCCCCCCTTCATTTAAAGACACGCCCTCCACTCTCTTGGTCAGAAAACACAGTCAGGCGGGGATTGATGGATCGGTCCACTCATGGCTGATACCCGACCATCATAATGGTTTCACAAATGCCCCCCTCCAACTTGCAAAATCGTTCCGCCGCTGTTGATAAATATACGGAAGTGTAGTTAGGACAGGGTTTAAAAAATCACTATTTCGTACGTACGGTTTACTACTTCGTACGTACGGGTTACTATTTCGTACGTACGGGTTATATTATATACCAGAGCACGAGTATATAGAGGTGTATTGCCGCTCGTGTACTGCAACGTACTTCGACACAGTAATCCGTGCGTACGAAATAGTAAATTGTACGTACGATTTACTAATCCGTGCGTACGAAATAGTAAATTGTACGTACGATTTACTAATCCGTGCGTACGAAATAGTAAATTGTACGTACGATTTACTAATCCGTACGTACGAAATAGTAATAGTGCGTCCTAAATACACTTCTATTATATGTATGGTTCTTGGTAGCCAAGTTGATTTTGAGCAGCCTTCGTCGCCTTCAGTTCACACAGAATGCGACCCCGGCTACCCACGTGATGATCCCCCGGGCTGCTGTCGAGCCCTGCCCGCCGGACAACATGATCTTGGCGATCATCGTCACCGTCTTCTTCTGCTTAATCCTCGGAATCTTTGCCATCATGAAATCCTTGGACGTAAGTACCGATTTGACATCTTTTTCAAAGCCATTCTCAAGTATGACTTTGCTGTATCGGCCACATTCGGGGACAAAATGATGTATTTTGAGAGATGTGAAGGGAGTTGATTTTGTTGGAAAACGCTGGGTGTGCGCACAGGTTCTAGACCTTTGGTGCTAGACGGCGTGCAGAGCTCACGCCCGGCCTGTTCGTGTTTCGAACCAAAATAATTTGAAATATTTTGGATCCATATCTAAGCTTCAAAATGTACAGCTGGTATATGCGTCTACATCCTGCGCCTTGTTGGACGTTTTTCCAGCAGCCTCCATGTCTTCTCTTTGCCGTCGACGGTTCTGTTATTATTTACTTTTCTGTCGGCTGTTTCCACTCTCGGCTACTTCCCCTCACGACGCATGTGTATTCTGTATTTTTGCATGCAAATTCGAGTAAAAGCAACCATTTACACTTTTATGCATGGGGGTGAATGAAGAGTGAGCGCTTTTTCAAAACAACAACCCCGGTCGCTTTTTGTCGTCACTCCCACGTGTCACTTTCCTTCGCGTGTTACGATTTAGGTCAAAAAGCTCTGGGCCGTCGGAGACGTGACGGGAGCCAGACGAGCTGCGCAGGCATCGAAGAGGCTTTCCGTGCTCGGTCTGGTCATCGGTGTCTTGGCGGAGGTGACAATCGTCATACTCGTTGTCGTCGCGTTTGCCATCTGGATCTGAAGAGAAGGACGCCTTCAGTTGCCCCCTTCCAACAACCTCCCCCATTCTGCTGGCTTGGAATTTTACTCAGTGAAGCAATACTGTAGATAGACTTGCGAAAACTAGCCATCTACCATCTCTAACTGCAAAAGAGTGAAAAACTCGAAATGGAGTCGTCCTTAATATGTGATTTTCACTTTTCTTCGAGTGGTTTTTCACTCGTTTGGAGAGATTTCCACTCGTTTGGATAATGGGATTCTTGAGGGAGTCACTCTTTTTTAAGAGTGTGTTTTTCACTCTTTTGACCTTTAGAGAGTATAGACATAAAACAGGCCGATCGCGATGTACGTAGTACAGGGAAAGATAAAGTCACACGTGAACGGTTGTATCATCTGTTTAATGTTCAGATGCGTGCACTAGTTTTCTCTGCTTCAGCTAATTAAAAAAAACACATGCTTATTGAAACAGCTTACAAGAAGCTCTTGTTTGGGGAGCATTTGTCTTGCAGTGAAATCAATGATATAATGCGATCAAAATATAATGATAAAATACTTTTCAAATAGTTTCGTACTGTTGAGCGCTTTGCGAGTATATGATGCAAGTGAAAAAGTACTCGATTCGGAAAGGAACATTCAAGCTAATTAATTTCATTTCTTTGTGTCCAGATTTCTTTTTTTTTTCAGTTATCCAACGTTCCACTAACAAAGTGTAGTGTTAATGTGTGTCTTAAGGATTCTAAAGAATCCATCTCTGGAGTGTCAATCTAGAGTCTTCTTGACTGGACAAAAAAAAAGTCATTTTGACTGTACACTAGTGCGTAATTTTATCGCGACGAAACAAAAGACACGTAGTCGTGGAAGTGATGCTGTTAGAAAGAAGACATTCGAAGATAGAGAGAGGAGAGAAATACCATAATCGCAATGCCAAATAAAAATTTTTGGGTTTTTGTTTTGTTGTGGTTTGGATTTGTTTGGTTTTGTTTGGTTTGGTTTCGGGGGGAGCACAGAGCTACAGTATTTGGGCACTGGAGGCGGCGGTGACGCAGGTTGCAGTAAATTTTCCGACTTAGGTCTTTTGGTCGACAAAGTTCATAATGGTGTGTCATGATAAGTTTTCGAGCCATTGGACCTCGTGTCAGTTAAAGCCCCTTTCAGCTGTTGGTTCATTCGTTTGAGCTATTTATCCATACTCCACTGCCTAATAATTACCACTTACAAACTTGTGCTGGTTTTTAAAGGAACCAGGAAAAAGAAACATTTTTATAAATTTTACTAAAACCCTTGAAATTGCATGTTTTTGTTTCAATTAACCTTATTTTAATTTTTTTTTGCAATTTTAACCCATATTTTAAGGCTAATTTGGTTTTTATGTTAATGCATATTTGCATATTCATGAGCAGTACTATGATGTCATCCAAGGCGCAGAATCCCATTTGTGCACAGAAACTTTCTAGATTTTTTTAACCACTGCGCATGCTATGGCAGATTTTATTTTCTTTGGCAATTCATTGCTGTGTAAGTATAATCCAGCAAAAATCTTTTTCACAGAAATGTTCCCAGATAGCAAATTTGCGATTCACAATTTGAACATGAAAACATGCAACCTGAACCATGTCTGCCTGGATTTACATCAAAGCAAAAGTGTCCTCACCTGTCTAGAAATGCTTGGTCAATTTTTAATGTTTGAAAAAGTGCACCGTTCAGTTCACATAACTCAAAAAGATGTCAAACAGTCTTCATACATGGAAGAAGAGTACAGAAATACACAAAAGTGATTCCAAGAAAAGTTAATTTTCTTGTTCCTTTAATCTCCGTGATTTGAGGTAGATAGGTACCTCGAGAGTCACCCCTCTTCATGCAGAGACCGGGAGTGCTTTTACTGAGCGATTGTATCATCAAGTTCGGATGAGGGCAGTTGACCTCTAGGAAGCAGAACAGACTCGCGAGTCAATAATTGTTGTTCCGCTGGTTTCCCAGAAATGTGCTGAACGTATTCCATCAATAACCGCAGCTCGAATGGATCGTTTGGGTGGAGCTTGACGTCGACTGCGAGTTCGTCCAGTGGCGACCCTACACCATTCGCTGCGAGGCGTTTGAGAAGCAAGACCATGAAATCTTTCAAGATCTTCTTTGCCTCTTCCGCGTGGGGGCCCGCGTTGATGCCTGTGGAGTCGTTGCCAGATGCTCTGCCTGCTGACGTGTTCCCCACTGTTTCAGGAATTTGATTCGTCTTTGGAAAGATTGGCAGTGACGCTAATTTCTCTGATCCAAACAGTGGTAGAATTTTGCTCTCAGTAGTTGAGCTCGTTTCCTGCGTTTTTTCCGTCGGTTCCGTGGTATCAAAGTATTCGGCTATATCGTCCACGGTGTCTTCCTCGGCGTACTCGGTGTCTTCATCTGGCTGGGATTCCTCTAGGACATTAGCAATGGTGCTGGACTCTCCAGGAGTTTCGATCGATATGGATGTCTTAACTGACTTGCTGGTGGACAGCACACCCAAAGTCGTCGCAGCAGTGGCTGACGGAGGCGTCGAGGTGCCGCGCTCTTTCACCGAACCCCCGGTAATTGATACTTTCGAATGAGCTACACCTGACAGAATTTCCGGCAGAGATTCGAGCGACATCGGCATTCCCGACCCCTTGGTAGACCCCACACTCGCCGTCGTTGGAGCAGTTGTTGAAGGATGCTTCGGGGCTATGTGCATAGGTTTGGCGTTCTCCTTGGTCGACTGAGTTGCCTTTGAGTCGGCCACGATGCTAGTGCTAGATTTCGGAGGGTTTTCAGCCGACTGTACGGCTGCAATTATTTTCGTCGGCCTGGGAGCAGCAACGAGCGGAGAAGTCGGCGAGCTGTGCTTCACTGCATTCTGTCTGATCGGTTTCTTGGACGGTTTCGAGTTCGGCTTGTTCGCCAACGACGTCTTCGGGGCTTGGGGGCTTTTACCGGCCGCAGCTGTTGCTCCCCATCGAAATGGTTGGATCTTCCCGGCTGATTCGTCGCTGTCTGTCTTCGGTGACCCCGCAGCAGGAACCACCAACTGATCGACTTTCTTCCCCCGTAAAATGTTTTTCAAATGACTCAGTTTGCTCTCTGGGGTCGATTCTTGCTTCTCGACATCCTCGTCTGCTGCATAATCCTCGTCGTTGTAGGACTCCTCAAGGTCGTCGTTCTCTTCGTCGCCTTCCTCTTCGGCATCTTCGACATCTTCGTCAGCAAGTTCTTTCAAGTTACCCTCTTGCTTTTTGTCTAGATCACGTGATGAAATAGAGCAGGTTTAAGTTCATAACATGCCAGCATTTCCTACAACCTCAATTTCCTCTAGTTTTGGAAACGCACAATGGTGATTTGAATTGAATTTATTGTCATCTGAGTTAAACTCATATGGTTTAAACGGTTTTCAAAGTAAATATCATTATTGTTTTCTGTTAAAAATTTGCAATTTGAGACCTTTCGTGCTACAATGTTTACATGGTGTCGACGAAGCTGGTTATTTCTACATCCCGTCTTCGTCTTCGAGTCGAGGTTAATGTCGATTTCTACCATGATCAGTGCTTAACATGAGGTGTTAAAACCATGATAACGTACACTACCCCAATACCCCCTACAGGCAGAATTGGCGTTGCTAGGAGACATATCGAGCTTGAGAGTCTAAATTCAGTACGAAGAATGGGAAAACCCTCCCACGTTCCTTGTCTTGTAAGATTGACTGTCGTGGGAAGAGGACGGGATTCCCAATGCCATTAAATTGCGGTTTAGACGTTGTCTCGATGTTGTTTGAGTGATAAATTCTTACCACACATTTCCACCAGCTCCTTGGCATTATAAACGTCTTTGTCAAATCCCACCTCTCTGCAGTTGGTCGAAGGGGACAGAGTGCGCACGCCTAGGAGTATGACGTCGTGTCCGCCTATCCAATGGGAAAGCTCGCAGTTACATTCGAGTCGGTTACGACCGAGGTCCCTTGAAGTGAAAAAATCGCCAACTTCGAGTAATGCAGCAAGCTGTTTTGTTTTGTTCTGACTAACAATATTCTCTGTGAGATACTTTTTAGCACGATTCTATCACTACTTCAATATAGATCATATACAAACAAGGACTTACAAAAATCGCAGTCGGTCGAGACCATCTAAGGAACCCGCTAGCCCTTTGGGAACAGCTCCTTCCTTGAGCGTGTGAAATGTTCTGAAATTACAAAAGGTAAAATGCTGGTGGCCCAACATCAGGTTTTCCACAACCTTTTCAGCCATGTTGTGAATTGACAGTTATCTTCAGAGTGCTAGCCAATACAGACGATTTTCAAGTGGTCGAGGTATGCGCAAATTTTGGTCACTTATTTTTTGGACCTGTCCGTCAGTGTTGTCGTAGAGGCCACTTAAGACCTTCACAAGACCACACAAGACCTTCACAAGATCAACACAAGATCAACACAAGATCGGTTATGGTCACTTCGGCTGTGTCAAGTCGCACCGTGTCAGTCGCGAGGGAAGTATCCAGCTATAACAGCCTTCGTTATAAGAAATACTTACAATGATTTGAGGCTTTTCAATCCATGAAAAAGGTTCTTAGGCACCGGCTGATCTACGGCTCCGTCAATGTCATGAATTCTGCCAACGGCGAAAGAAACAAATAGGTGTGATACTCATGACGGAACTAGCTAAACTCTGCTAGTCGAGGTTCAACTTCTGACAGTAGCCGCTTAGAAGAAATGCCAGGTTCGGTCAAGGACCATTTCTTGCCCACCGGTCAAGTTTCCCTGGTAACCTCGCTATACGTTTTATCGTAAGTACCAGCTAGGTCAAAGCTGCCACTGGTTGGTTGACTGATGGTTGCTGGTCGAGCTTTGGACCATGGAAGAAGGACACAAAGCGAGCAAGTAAGGACCATTTGGGGCGGACTGCCACCAATGCTCAACGTCGGCAAACGGAAGTCAGAGAGGACAACGTGAATTAATCGAGAAGTTTAAAATTGTAGCGATACGTACATGAGATCAGTGACGTCTGGTGCGTGTTTCAGAAACCGCCGCATGGAGGAGAAGGGCAAATAACGAAGCTCCCTGCGACAAGGAAAATTAAATAAACATGCGAATCACTATAACACGCAAATTTCTAATGAGACATACCAGACGTCCGACCGGACAGGGACCTTGATAAAATGAATACTCAGGTTGCAGTGAATAGGATTGGATTGAGTTGGGTTGGGTTGGGTTGGGTTAGGTTGGGGTGGGGTGGGTTGGGGTGGGTTGGGTTGGCCGGGTTGGGTTCAGGTTTGGTTGGATTGGATTGGGTTCAGGTTGGGATTGTGACAGTTTTCATAGGCCTAGCAATCATTCGTAGGCCTACCCGTAACCGATCGGAAGGGATCACACTGCTGTAAGTTGTCTGTCTCAAGCAAGGAATTAGTAAACTCGGCTTACAGTGTCTTTATAGCCGGTGAAAAGTCTTTGGCCGGCTCTAGAACATCGTTGTAGCAAATGGCAGTGTGGAACTCGGAATCAGGACCCCTACAACTGCAACCGACGGGGCACTCGCCGGCAACAGCCGTCGACACCAAAAAACACAGCACGAAGACGAGGCTTGCTTGATACATCATGTGGCTGTTGAACTGAGAGAAAACATGTTAGCTGTGGTCATCAGTCCACCCAACGTGTACAATAAGCACAAATAGGCCACCTCTCCGGTAATGGTGCGTTTTTTGCCATTTTGTCCACTTTTATTCGTCGAACAATGGTTGAGGAAGAGTCATTTCCTCAAGTAAATTCTCTCCCCTGCCGGTTTTCAAGACATCGTACGGTGGCAGTAAGTTTAGGCTTTAAAATGGAACATTTTAGTCAAGTTGATCAGTGAAATCGCCTCTAGTTTATCTGTTGCTTCTAGTTCTACCGGTGTCGTCAGTGGTGTACCTAGCGGGGGGGGACAACTCCGCATTCACTTTTGAATTCAACCCCCCCTTCTGCCGGGGATTGTAAATTTGGGGACCCTGCTCCTATAACTGAAGGGAAAGCTACAGTTAAAAAAAATTCCCCTTTGGAGATGAGTGTGACATCACGCTCAATAACTGTTGGGTTGATGTCAGAAAAGGAAAGGATTTTGAGTTTTAGGAAATTAGGATGACACATGGTGGGTTCAAATTTGCATGGTTAGTTTATCAGTAAGAAATTTTCTCACAATTTCCAGTTTGAAGTTTCCAAAAAAATTGGGTCAGTACAATAAAGAGAGTGTGTGTTGCCTTTGTTTTATGGGGGGACTTATCAGTTTTGCAAGATTAAAAGGATAAAACGCTTGGGGGGTCCCCAAGTATACAATACCCATTTCCCGGCCCGGACAACAAAAGGTGGATAGCTGCCGGGTACCGTGCGACTGATTTGTACATTAATATCGTAAGGTTTTTGTTTTGACTTACCGCATTCAAGTCCTACGAGGCACCAGAATGACTGTCATTTATAAAAAGAGGTGCGTCCTAGACAAGTATCCCTCTCCTCTGATTTGCTTGACTTGGATGTTTTAAAATGAAGGTGTAGGCCTATAGTCTTCATACTTCGGGGTGTTATTCTATCGAAATCACACGCTGCGCGTTATCGGCGCGCGCATTGTACACCGACGCCAACGCACGCTACGGCAAGAACACTTCCTGAAATGTGCGCGCTCAGTAAGCTACTGTACTGGCGCACTTCGGGCTTTAAAAACGCATTTTTAAACTGGAAATTGCTGGTTTTTTAATTGATTTTTTTTATTTTAAGGCTGTAAATGGCATCTTCAATATGTGGTCGTTAATTCGTGAAGTATTTATTTAATGGAAAAGTAAAAAAAAAGTAACAGGCGTAAAACTGAAATAAGTTTAATGAAAGCATTTTTTCTCATAATTTTTCCTATAAAGGGTGATCGCATTCCGATCCTTGTTCGATTTTTTAAAGGTGTAGACCAGTAGTCCATAGGACGACGGTAGAGGAATCTGTCCCCTATTTCTAGATTGTAATGAACTTTTGTGTTTAATTACCTCCTAAAATGGAGTTTTCTACCAAGAACGAATTAAAGCATGCACTCTAGAGTCATAATTTTACGTGAACACAACTGTGGATACTCGTGGAACAGCTGGGAAAAAAAATCAGCATTGCTTGAGGCCATAACTGTCACTAGGTCTTTTGTTTTGTTTTGTTTTGTTTTGTTTTGTTTTGTTTTTATCACGCCATACTACGAATCAGATTTCCTGAAAGTCTTCAGCATAAGACTGCATGCACAAACCAAACAGCCAGCCATTCCCAGCTTGGGCTCTGGCTGGTCGGTTATGGTGTCGGCTCTTGAGGGCGCTACACTATTCACATGAGACAAGAGCGCGGGAGGCGTTAAAAGTTAAAAAAACGAGGTGAGAAGTCGCTCTTTATTTTGCATCTTGGCATGAATTATAGTATGAGGTAGATTTTTATGTGAACGTAGAATTGTCCACGTTTATATGTGTGTGAAGATGGTGCATGACTCAGCATTGAAAGATTCAAATTTAACATGTTTTAAGATCCGGGATCGTCGATCAAAGTGATTACGTTCGTGACCTGATGACGTTGAACAAGTGAGTCCAACATGTCCGAGTTGAGTCGCTAGTCGTAAACAAACCGAAATTCATGCGCGTGCCTATTTATTGGTCCGTCAGTGTCACAAACATCAAGATTTTTTTAAGAGGTAGGCCTAGGTCCTACCTGTTATTTTGACATGATTTACTCATTTGACTGATTGGCCTGAGGCATGTTCGTTAGGCATGTTTGGGATTTAACTTACCATGCTTCAACCTCCGTTTTTATAGCTCCATGCTTAAACATGCTTAAACTTAAAGCAACCAAAAGGCAAAGGTCTTGCCGGCAAATCAGACTTGGAGTAGCAAAATGGGATTTTTTTTCTTCAAAGAATCCAAGTTATCCCCAAGAAAGGTCAGAAGGTAGGCCCTAGTAGTAGTACTAGTAGCCAAGTGTCAAATTATAAGTAGTCATGGTCAGGTTGGTAGTGTTTCTAAAATGCTGGTGCTTGCATCTCTAAAAAAAACCACCCAACTACATGTAAATCTGCCACTGCACTGGTCGCTTCACCGTTCGTCAATGCTGTCATCCTAATCCACTGATGCTTATTGCAAATGTCTTAAAAACTAGGTTCAGTGACGTGACTGTCAGGTATGGAGGAGAGTTCCTACCGCAGTGTGGGGAATGCCCGCGACACCAGCAGCTGCAACAGCACGCTGAATCCCTTCGAGGCAGACAGCCTAGACAGCCTCCACCTGACCCAGTTCAGCCCCTCTGTCTTTGCCTCCAAACGTACTGCCACCCCTGCTAGCTCCAAGGTTAAGTCATGTCCGCACTGTTTTTGACTGTGGCTAGCTTACCCAAGCAAGCTCAGCAGTCAAGCAAATGGTCTGCTCTAGTCATTAGGAGAGTGTGGGTTTCCATTTCAACCAAGTTGAACAGAATGGAATTTCAAATACTTAATACATTCTGCATGTATCACCAAAAGCAAAAACCAAATCAATATATTAAAAGCTCAATTTGATTGTTGGTTGGGTTTTCCCAATTTCAGAAGAGCTCTCTATTCCGCTGGTCCATCGACCAACTGGCTATCCTCCATCCTGCCGACATTGACGAGCATGCCGTTCAGCAGGAAAGTACGCTGGATAGCGACATGGAGGAACGCGCCCAGCAGGCTATTGAACAGGTGAGTCCGAGTCATGACCTCACTGGTACTCCACCCTCAGCTTCTCTCTTATCCTTGACTTTTGGGTTCTAGGCATGACATCGCTGGTATCCTGCCAGTGAGGCCTTGGCCGGAACCCTAAAGTTAAGGGCACCTGTGTAACGTTGAATTAAGATTTGAAATTGTGGTTGTTGTTTTTTTCTTTTTTGTTTATTTTGCCAGTTCTTTTCCCAGCAACATGTCGTTCCTTCACCCTGGTCAGTCAAGCGACCCATCAAGCATGTGACATTCTCGCCAAATCCTCCATCTGTTTCAGGTAATATGTGCATATGGACCGGCAACAAGGTCAGTAGCGCTCATCTGTGGCCCCCGAGAGACTGTGATCCAAACAGGTTTCCTTAGTCTTGGGAAATAGTCTTAAGGCCAAGGGGACATGGATCTCAGATCTAGGGGTCTGGTAATACCAAGTCCACAAAGAGAAATTTGAGTGTGAATAACAATCGTGGATACAGGCTTTCTTTGTTCCAGGGTTTGTCTTAAAATCAGAACATAAGGCAACTGAGCTCCCTTATGTGCACACGATGAAATAGTCTGAACTATGGTAATGAATAGTTTTATGTTGACCGGTGCTGAGGCCAATATGTGATGCTTGCTAGATTATTTCCAGCAACGGAACCAGCACATGAGAGAACTGAGCTCCCTTTTGTGCACAAGGTGAAGTAGTGTGAAGTACAATCATGAATATTTTTATATTGACTGGTGCTAAGGAAAGTGTATGATATAGACCAGATTCATTTGCAGATTTGACCCTGCAACCACCAAATACGAGAACTGAGTTACAAGGTCAATTGTGTCAACTCCGATCATGAGTACTTACGTGTATATTGACTGTGTGTTCTACTACATGTATGTATATTGACCAGTGCTGAGGGCAATATACGATACACATGTATGCTACAAGTATTTTCATGGTTGGTCCAAAGAATCACAAGTAAGAGAGCTATCCCTTTCGTGGCACAAAATAAAGAATACTTTAACGTAAAACATTAGAGGAAATTCGATAAAAGTAGTTTTGCTTGAGTGAGGTTCACCTCTGGGCCCATTTTTTTTCCCTGTTATAGAAGAAGAAGTCAACGACAGCATGACCGAGGCACCAGAGGGTTCAGAATACGTTAACGACAATTGCTTGCAGCACAGCAAGAGGTCAGAAGGTCAGTAGCCTCCTTTGCCTGCTTGTCCTGTACCTGACGTAATGGTGTCCCCTGACAGGATATGTGTCTTGCCGTAGCTAGATGAGCTTTCGAATGCCGCTCAGACAATGTCTCGTCCAATTTGGACATCTTGGGGTTCATTTGGGACACCCCCTTTTGAAGAGCTGCCAACCAGTAGGATTTTAGTGTATCTCATACGGTTTTTCAATGACAATACGACGCTACGATTATTCTCAGTAAAATACGATGTCCAAAAAAAATAAGCTTTGTAGATTTTTACCTATTGTTTGGCTTGAAAATTTACATATTTCACAAGTTAATTTCGCGCGGTAACATCAGTCATCGGCAAGGTCTGAAATGCCATGCAACACGCACGATGCGGTGTCTATCCACGAGGCCGTCTGTTGTCCGTTGGTGCTTCGTTTGTGCAGTTCGTCTGTGCACCGTAAGTAAACTATGGATGTACAAGCAAAATCAGTCTGTGGCCCAGACTAGGCATCGCGCTCGCTCGATCGTACGCAACAGTGAAGAATAGGATTTTTTTTTTCAGAAAATAGGATTGTTAAGGTAAAATCATAGGATTTTTGGTCAAGTGCGGTTAGCAGCTCTAGCTCTGCTTTTGTTATGCGAACATTTTATATATGCGTCAAACTTCAGCAATTTGGATGCACTGTTCGCTTATTGCATATTCGTCAGACTTCAGCGATTTCAATGCCCTTTTTTATCAAGACGAATTTTGATTAAAACTTTTCAAATTCAAGCTAAGACCCGGACTTTTTTATATCTTTCAGTGTCCTGCCAAACTGTCGTTACCCTGCCCGTCGACTTTGATCTTCAAGCAGTGCTTGGTAAGTTCAAGAGTTACCCAGTAACAGTGAGATCGCCCAAGCTTTTAAAAAAATCCAATTCCGCACCGAAAAATCACGTCACTTTCCAACAGTCTCAAACCTATTTCCAAAAGGTGACAGGTTCACCTTCGATGACAGTCAAGCCGAGGGGGTCAACGACCTCTGCAGCTCATCCCTTCGACGCAAGCTGTTCAGCCACGGAGAGGCTAGTCCGACGATCAGTCCTGTCGGAGGTGGGTTAGACGACCACGTCTCCCCAGAGAGGATACCTGACATCCCCTCACCGCAGGTAATCGGGATGTCTGATTGGTCAGTTTTGTGGTGTGACCCAACGCAAGCAAAGCTCTCAGTTAAATTCTAAGGTTTTATGTAGACATGGTTAGAATGCAAAGCAGTTGTAAGGGGCAGAGTATCCAAAGTTAATAGCCACTCAAAGTAGGGCTGAGTCAATTCGAAGACTTCACTTTTCGAATATTCGACCTTCAATTTGATCGAATATCCGAATATTCGGTTGCACCGACCAGGCGTTTGTTGATGAACAAACCATATACGAAATCAGTTGCAGTAATGCTCACAATTGTACATTATGATCAATCTAATAGCTTCTCACATCTGGGAGTATCTCCAGCCACGATTTAGCAAAAGTGAAGAGATGAACAAGACTTCTTGCCCTGTTGAAAATTTCTATTCCTTTTCAATTGTTTAATGAATAATTTACTTTTTAAATCATTGTAAAATTTCCGACGCTTTTCATTTGACTCTTCTTGAAACAAACCTCCATAATGCAATTTTTCTCATCTAAAACAAAAAGAAAATGTTCCCATCCTTTCCTGACTTTTGCATTCGAATATTCAAATTCGGAAAATTAATATTTGAATATTCGACAATCGATTGAATATTCAGATATTTGACACAGCCCTAACTCAAAGGCAGTGGTCAGTGGAAAGTCAAAATGTGTAGAATCAAAGGTGATTTGGGGAGAGAAAATGACGGAGGAGCTGTGTTTTTGCGTGGGAAATGAAAAGAGGCCATTCCCGTTTTACGCAAGTGGCCAGGACTCCAGGAAAGGTAGCCCAAGCAGGGAAATGTTTCCGTCACTGTAGCTCACCAAACGAGTCAAAGGGAGAAACATTTAATTGGATAACGATCTCAGACCTGGTCCCGGTTGACATTGTCGAACCCTTTCATTCAGGGGCCAATTTCATAGAGCTGCTGAAGCACAAAATTTGCTTAAGCGGGATAAAACACTGCTTGACAAATCAGGTTACCCGCCAAAACTCAGTGTGATGTATATCGTTTTGGAATGGTACTCACCTGTCTTTTAGTTAGCATGACAATCACATAGATTTGGAGCTGGTAACCTTTGTTTTTTAAGCAAGTTTTTTTGCGCCTAAGCAAAATTTGTGCTTAGGCAGTACTCCCAAATTGGCCCCTGGTGTAGAGGGGCTATTAAAGTCATAAATGTAAGTAACTTTGTAATGTAACTTTGACATGGTGCATGTTTTGTCTCCACTCTTAACAAAGGATTCTGTACGCTGCAAAGGATGGTAATTCATGTTTCCCCTGAGCTTGCAGCATGCAGCTGTATAAAATGCTCTGTCTTTCCCTTTCAAATCATGACGGCAGATCTCTCCGATCAGGCAAGTTGACGATACGACATTGTCAGCCTCGGACATCAGCCACGTGAAGACCCCCGGATCGGCACAGGTGAGAGGGGACCCGAACCTCAGAGGTTTCTAGGACGTCGCTCGCTGGGCTTTCTGTTGTCGTGTTGATTCGCTGCCAAAGTTCTGAAGGCTGATAATGCGAGATATTCATAACCGCCCCCCCCGGCTCCCACACGGACACTGACTCTACTTGTAACCTGCATCGTGAGCACAGAAAAGGGTGTACAGGCATACGGGCTCTGCAGATGTGAGGACTTCATACGTGTTGAAAGATAACGGTTGGGGCGGATTGATTCATTACGGGTGACAAATAATTCTCCCCACAACTCGGTCCTGCATTTGCTTGGAAAGGAAATTGTTCCCTCGTTGTGGGGCTAGCCAGAGCCTGCTCAACGCCTTTACCCATTGCGGACATGTTTTTCAATGCAGGGCCACGCCCTCTCTCCATTACGGACAAAGCCAATAGATATACAGTCGAACCTCGTTACTAAGAGCACTGTTAATATGAGATTTATCCTAAGACAAGGAAATTCTTACGTCCTAATCCTTTCTTTGTCATTGTTTTCATTCTTGATGATACCAGATTCCTACTATAACAAGGTAATTTGCCAAGTCCAAAGGACCTCTTATTAACGAGGTTCGACTGTAACCAAAACTGCCTCTTCCCATGATCTATGTTTCAAAGAGGCATGCAACTTTCCTTGGGATCAGCTTATATCCTCATTTCTTTACTCCTCGACTATGCCTCTTCAAAACGAAAAACTCTGTACCAAATTTTCTGCAGTGGGGAATTTCCTCTTTTTTTTTCTTTTAAATTTCAGGTTTAGATCTGTCTTGTCTCTCTTGCAGAGCCAGTTTTCCTCCAGCCCGATCTCCAGCAAGTTGACTCCCAGGCGATGGACTCCTTACAGCCAGGGTTCAAGGTCCTCAGTGGGCCTCATAGCCTCTCCGTCCTTTTCTCCCATCTCCAGCACCATCTACCCAACAACCTCGGGTGAGGATAACTTGAGATTCACCTTCAAGTTTTATGGGGGGTTTTACGAAGTGTTTGGGGTTTACATGGTTTTATTGGTTTTCCAGGGGTTTACTAGGGTTTGTGGGGTTTTACTAGGGTTTGTGGGGTTTTATGAGGTTTTCTAAGGGTTTATAGGGTTTTGCAAGGTTTTATGGGGTTATACAAGGTTTTATGTGGTTTCACTAGCTGTGATTGGGTTTTAGGAGAATTACAAGGTTTTTAAAATTTGATCCCCATTTCATCTTCCTCCTCCCCAAGACTTAAAAACATGGACGGAGTTTTAGTGTTTTTTCGCATCCACCTAATCAGTTTAGAGTATTACCAAATATGGGCATAGTGACCTTTCCCTCCTGATGCAACAGTTTTTGTCCAAATTCAACTTTAAATATCTCAAGTTGGCAACGACGAATTTTAAATCCCATCAGTACAAAGGTGTTTTAGAACTTCCATCTTATGTATGCAGTCAGGGTTTTTTGCGCAGCCAATCAGATTTTTGCAAGCAAAATTTTTCGTTAGTGTTTTTGTTCCATATGCTGCAGCGTTTAAGAAAAGTGCCCGTAACATGGAAACCACACAATCCGTTGCAGGCTGCTAGAACAAGCCTTGTGAATGGTCAGATTGCGCGAGATTTGTGATGTAATAGGCCGTCCAAATATGGTTATACTCCATACTGCTAAGTAAATAACATGCACATGCTCGTTGGCACTGAGTATCTTCACTGATTAATGGGCAGAGAGTGATCGAACGTAGAAAGCAGGAACAAGTCAGTTTTTCTGAGCCAGTTGTCTGAAAGCAGGTTGTGGATTGGCATATTTCTTTATCTTTTGTAAGTTTTTGAATGCAAAGATGAAAATTTTGTGAGATTTTCTAGGTTGGGTCAGGTAAGCGGAAATATGATATTCTTTCTTGATTTTGAACGGAAATCAAGACATATCAACACCCTCACCAATCGGTGAAAAATTCCCTTCAAAATTGTTTAGTCAAACCCTGAATTCAAGGATCAACGTTGGGCCTCTCTTCTTCAGATTCCAGCAATCCTATCTGCGATTCTTCAGGCAAGGGTAGGGCGCCCTCCTGTGACATGAGTATGCCAGAGGCCTCACCCATCCTGCCGGACGCATCCAAGTCGCAGACCGGCATGCTGTCGCCGTTCCTGGCCAGCATGGAGCCCCCTAGCGTCGAGATGATGCCAGTTTTGTACACCATCGGTGGGAACCATCTCAGGGGCGGGGCTCACATCAATCACCCGTGTGTTGACCCAAGAGTTACAGGTGTGTATTGTTGGCGTGACTTGTCTTGTGAGCATTCTTTAAAGTTTCAGATTTCTTAGTTTTGTTCTGTTGGGAGAGAATTTTGTTTGGGGATTTTTGACCGAAATTTGAGCCTCCATGTGGTTCCAAAACAAGGCCACAATAATTTGAAATGTCCTGCTATAAACAGAATCAAATGTTTGCCAAGAGCATGCAAAATTGCTCCTGGTTGATTCAAACATTTTCGGAAAGAGTGACAAAGAGTTTTTTGTCCTTTTCAATTCATTTTACTGTGGACTGCGTGGCTTTTCTCACTGTTAAAGATACTTTTTTCCCTGTCTGATAGTCACAGACACTTTTACCCGCCCGTCTGCGTGAAGTTTTCAACCAACTTTTAAAACTTAAAAAGTTTGTTCTCAATCATGCTTCCAGGTGAGAAGTGTTTGACGTCCCTGCCCCCAGCTGGAAAAAGGTCTGGTGATTCCCATGATCAAAGTGATTCCACCCCAAGTGATTCTGGGGATTCGCAGACCCCGGACCTGGCCGGACAAGCCTCCGTCTGCAGCATGGAGCAATCCTGCTTGCGGATGTCCAGTGAGTCCAGCTGCGACCTGACAGCGGACCGGATGCGAGACAACGACCAGGAGATGCCAAACGGGATGGGCGGCGCTAGCCTCTCCACTTCAAAGGACATGCTGTCTTTTATTGATGAGTATGAGGGCACCAGCATCCCCTGTTCCGATGAAGGCCACAAGCAGCTGACGTCCACCCTCTGGCTGCCAAGCCACGCCCCCTGCGACTCCCTTCGTCCCCAGCGGCCTCTCACCTTGAAGACAACTCCAGAACTACCTCAGGATGCCGTCGGGTTCCAGGGTCACATTATCTCCACAAGAGGCAGCAACACCAGATCAACAGTTGCCATGGAGACAGCTGAGGCCCTTCCCCGGTCAAAGGTCACACCCAGGGAGCTGGTGACCCCAATGCAGTCGGACAGCGGATTCAACTCGCAGAGTTCCACGTCCATGGAAGTGACCGACGGTGAAGGCCACACTGAGGAAATGCAGTCTCATGAATATTCAGTAGAAAGCTGTTCATTGGCCGACAAGGAGAACGTATGCAGATGGAAAGCCCAAGTGCAGTAGACTGGATGGGTTTTCATCCATATTTATCAGAACTCATGCATTATTCATTCCCCAACTTCAAATGGCGCATTCCAAACAGAGGCTTCCTCAATTGTTTTCCTCAGGAATTTTTGTAATAGTGAAAGTTTCCGGCCACTCAAATGTCAGCTGTTCGATAACAGTTTTAGACTGTAGCAGAAACTTATCGTCTCTAGCTTTGACTCGGAATCAAGTGCACTCGTCACAGGTTTTTACATGACATTTGTTGCAATTATTGTCAAAATCAATTGTACACAGCGACTTTGATCGTCTTGACATTTGTCAAGATCTTTTCCCGATTTCAGGATGTTTTCTTCAGGATTGCCATTTATTTCAGGATTACTCTCATTTAAAAATCTGGAATACACCAAGTTGAAAACTGTGAACTTTTTACATGTAACATTGATGCAGAACACAAGAAAGGGGTCTATAAGTTAAGGGATAAATTGGTACATGGTACCATAGACCCTACGCTGTTGTGGGATCCTCAGAACGTCTGGTCATTTCACTGATTTTTAATTTCCTTCCAGGCTCCCCCCAGGACAGCGACATTGGTTGCAGTCAGTTCTGTTTTTTTCACTCTGAAAATTTAATTGGACATTTTGTGTGCAGACCATCGAGGACCGTTTCAACCAACGCAGTTGAATTTTTAGTGACATGTACTTGATACAAAACTGGACATTTGGAAGTTTAAATGTAGAAAGGTTTGCAAAGATGTTTGACCTAAAAAATACTCAAATACATGCAAGGTCTGAATATCTTGTGTATTCTGTCTTTTTAACATATTGAAATTTCTGTTTTGTTATTTAAATACATGCAAATGT